AAAAAATTGCTAAATAAGGAAATCTTTGAACGAGAAACTTTGCCCTTTGAACGTGAGGTAATGGATTTAGAAGGGCAGGTGAGTTGGTAATGGATGTAGGGATACTAGGACCCTAGGACCCAGTGACCCACTATCATCTCTCTTCCAATTAAGATTGGAAAAATCGCTAGACAGACGTCTGGGGATTGCCTAGGGCGCCTAGAGCACATAGTTGGCCGACCGCCTAGCGCTTAGGCACAATTTTTGCAACACTGGTTCCAACTATTACCCGGGGTCCACTCGTGAAAAAAAAAGAGGATAAGGGCAAGAATAGGGAACAAGGACTACATGAAAACATACTGTGGAGCATATATTACACCTTGCAAAGAAAGTTACAGAGCTAAGATGGCAACTGCAGAAAATGCATATATGTATATGTGTGTGTCTGTATGTATTGTATGCATAGAATATTCACAATTTTGCATCATTGCAAAGGGGTTTCTGTGGTTGAGATGGAACTTTGCCCGGGACCATTACAAACGTTGCATCTGCAAACCGGGCATACCCTGAAAGGAAAATCGGAGAATTAAAGTAAACGCAACTGGGAACATTTCCCGTGGAAAGCGGGCAAATAAAGAATCTAGTAGAAAAAAAAAAAAAAAAAAGGTGGAACATACCTGTTTACTTCTTTCAGCCATTTATCAATACATATCATGTGATATTCATGATGACAAGGGAGAACCCTCAGTTTGTCGCCATCTTCATACTCAGCCAAACAGATATAGCACCTGTTAAGGAATAAAAAGAAACAGCGCCCATCAGTTATGTCCCCAACTACCACGCACCGTTGGTCTCGCTATCATTCAAGCACATCAGGATCCGGAAGACATATAATTGCAGTTTTCTTTTATAGTCATTGCCTCAAATGTAATAAGTGTTTTTAACAGTTAGTACAAGGTGAATATGGTGATCCAACATTTTAACGGTGTTTTGGTTTTGATGAAAACAAATCAACGCTTTTTAGCAGTTATTAGAGAAAGTAAATGGCAACGACTAAGGTGTTTTGTTTTGATAATCAAGAATGGCATTGTTTAGCAGATGAAGAAGGCTTACTGCTGTGTATCACCCAACGCATTTTCAACGGGATCTAAAGTTTTGTGGTATTTGAGAGGAAATGCATCTACTGTAGCTTCTGGAGCTGGGAGCGAGAACGTTGATAGTGAGAAAGATTGTCTATGAATCTCGTCGATTACCTACAGAACATAAATAAAAGAAGGCGTGTGAATGTTTATACAACAGCTTTCCTTTCAAGAATATATACTCACTTCATAGAAAAGAGGAGAAGGATAGGATCTTAGAGATAACCTCAAATAAGGCCTCGGCAAGCATGATTATTCGTGAAATACTTGCAAGGGTACTGAACTCTTCAGATGTGAAGAATGACTCGCACGAGCATGTACCATCAGGGTGGAGCCCGGATGGGCAAAATGATGGTTGTGAAACCCGATTTCTGTGGCCTCTGTGAACTCTTTCAGAGATCTATAGGCGTATACAACAATTGTTAAAGAACACCATAATCAAGAACCATATGGAAATGCTATGAAGCATATAGAAGACAATCAATCATAAGTTATAGGAAAGAGTGAAGAAGATAAAGCACCTCTGATCTTGATGGCAATCGTCGTTCGTTTCTGTGATGACCTGTTTCTCCTAAGTAACTGGAACCATATCCAACTCCATCATAGTGGAGATCACCATTCAAATCAATAAGCCATCTGTCATGAGACCCTAGATCATCAGCATTTCCAGTGGCAAAAACAATTGTTGGGGAATCATTATGCCTCCTTAAACTGTGTCTCGATAAAGCATCCCAAAAGAGCCTCCTACTATTTCTTCTTGCTTCACGGTTATTTATATCAGCAACACTACTAGATAAGATGTTGGAAGAGATACTCACCACATCAACATGAAACAAATCTCTAATGCTTCGATCCTGATCCTGATCCTCATCATTGCCCGCCAAAAGAAATCTTGAACTAGAAGTTGTAGTTACTTGAGGGTTATCATCCCCAGGCAATGCAAGTCTTCTAGCCGACTCAAGGACTTCAGAAACTGGCCCGGAACTAGAGCTGGTGTCATCAGTTCCAGGATGTTCAAGAAAATCCCCTCCTTCTGGACATGAGTTCTGCACCTCCTGCACTACATTGCGTGAATTTTCACCATCCTTTTCAGAATTCTGGGTATCAATGTCTTCAACCACCATACTGACTGTTTCAATTTCTGAGATCAATTCACGAGAAGCCTGTTCACAGAATTGAAGCAACCACATCACTATCCCTCCAATAATGCTATATAACAAACCATAGCAATATAATAGTATCTTACCAGATGGGCTATTGGCTGCTTATTCCTCAAACTGCGGGTCCTATGGCTGCTAGCTTCAATATTTGGTAAAGCATCACGAGATATGTCCTCTTTAAAGCTACTACTACTTTCTGATGAAGTTCCAGGTTCAAATTCGGAACTAGCATACCCAACTTCTGCACTAAATATTGAAGATTCTGTTACAGTTTCTTGAGAAATATCATTAATTGGAGCTTGATTTTCCAAGGAACTTATTGGTGAGTTTTGAGGATAATCTTCAAGCTGCATATGAAGAACGGCAAATCATAAAGTTCCAAAAAGAGAACCATAACATCATATGATCCATCAGATAAGAAGCAGCATGTTACGAACATTGTGATGCCATTTCATCACCAAGCTCTTTAATGAGCATTAGCACATTCCAAAAGAAAGAAGACATTAACCTATGTGGCATTGCCATTAAAAAAAAGTTACAGAAAACTACTTCTAGTAATTCAATGGAAAAAAGACTGAATCATTCCAAAGCAGGATTTCAAGGTTTATGATGCAAAAGTTTAATGTTAAATTGCAAGGCAAGCATAATTGGATTCAGAAGAACTAAGGACTTTTTAGTTTCTTAAAGTTAAATTCCATTCCTTATGGCAGAAAATGAAGAACATATTCTCAACCTCCTCAAACAGACTTGTGTATTGACAAAAAGCTTAAGATCCAAGCTTCCTGACATCGCAATTCCAATGTTAATCTCATACCAATATCAATTACCAAGAGCACATTTAAGATAACAATCCAACATTTGGGCATCAATTTGATACTTTATCCACTCATCCACTTTTCACGTCCTTTGGTTGGTAATCAAAATTAAATTTTGGGCATACAATTGGACGTACAAAGATTAGGGTTTCCAATTAATTTCCTTAAAAAGTTTGAAATAAATCAAAGAGAACCCAACCACCCACAAAAAAAGAACAGATTTAGCTCCAGATCATTACAGTTGACTTTTGCCGGGCCAGAACCAAACTTTACTTAAGAAAAGAAAAAGGGTTTCAAATTTCAATCTGCAAACCCGCCATCATCAATTAAACAATCAAAAATTCTCGCGAAACACGAAAAATCCAGGAAAAAAAAAAAAAAGAAAACGAAATCAACCCCTCAACAATCTGAATCATCCAAATTAAAATCAACCGTGTGGGTATCATTCGTAAGGATAGAGGAATGATACCTCGAGGGTTGAACGAGAAGTGGAGGCACCACAAAGGAGAGAAGACAGTCTGTGCTTTGATGCCTTGGGTCTTGACTGAGAAGACCCGGAGCCAGAGGATCTTTTGGGTGGCGAAGATGATGATAAAGAACCCCCGATGCCTAAGCGACTGCTGCTAGAGCCCATGCTGGTAAAGATGGAAAGTTCAATTCACAGTATTTTCGGGGAAATGGAAGACAGAGAGCGGGAGAGAGAGAAAGGCGCACAGACATGAATGGCGAGAGTCATCGCAATTCGCAACCCGATTTGTTTAGGATGGTTTACAGTTTACTCAGACCTTTTATTAAAACGCGTTATCTAAAATGGTTGTCTCTTTCTTTAAATAGAAGTTTAAAAAAAAAAATTATATTTGGTATAATTACATTAGATACTTTATATGCGTCCAATGGTACCCGGGTTGGACTTCCACTTGGAAGATTGTGAGTTCGAGCCTCAGTGAAGGCATTATTAGCTCTTTGTGTTTCAGTAGGTTGAGAAAGTATATGAACAGATACTACAATGTAATAGAGCTAGTAGCATTCAAAAAAAAAAAAAAACATTAGATACTTTATAAACCAAATTAAAACTCATTTTGAAAACCCGAAAAATGATTTTTAAAAAATCTTTTTTGAGTTTTCAATGTTTGGATGCAACAGGAAAATCCAGTCAACGAAAAAAATGGAGCCATTTTGGTGAAAAATGATTTTCGCCAAAATGTTTAAACATACAATTCTATTCATTTTTACATAAAATGAACTAAACACACCAAATTTTTCAAAATTCAACCTGAAATGGAAAATGTTTTCTGTCCTGCCTGCTTTCCAAATGCACCCTAAAATTGAGCGAATTATATAAGCAATATTTAGACAAGTCTAGTTCTCTCAAATGAGAGGTCTCAAGGTTCGAACTCTAGTTTATGCACCCTAAAATTGAGCGAATTATATAAGCAATATTTAGACAAGTCTAGTTCTCTCAAATGAGAGGTCTCAAGGTTCGAACTCTAGTTTAGAGCATTGACTCTTTGTACTTCATTAAGTTGAAAAAGTATGTATGAACCGACTACATTATAACAGAGTCAATAATATTTTTTTAAAAATAAAAAATAAAAAATTATACCGTGGACCAGGATATACCTTGCAAGGTGAATTGTCTATTGATCTTCTCGATTTAAGAAAGTCAACTATGAATAATTTAAACTAATTTACCTATATTTTGTAAATTAGAGTCACAAGGACACCTTTGAGTAGTTGTTGGCCTATTGTGAGTTTTCTCGTCAATCAAATAATAGTAATATATGAAAAAACCATTTCCAGTTCTTCATAATATGCATGAAAAACCTTTTTCATTTCCACCATTTCTCAACAATCTTCTCCAGCTATTTGATGATGAATCATACCCATGTTCACATTCATGGAGGAAAGAATGAAATTTCATGGCAGAATGGGCTCTAGGCAACCATCCCCACATATCTTAAAACTCAACAAAATTGTTCACAAAACATTCTGCAAAAAGAGGCATTACAAAAAGTCCTTTTCTTTGGATTAGCATCCTATCTACAGTCAAATCATAACTCAGCAAGCAAGAAATCGCACATTTTGATCATCGATAAAAGTCAATTCGACTGGATAATGCGTCGAACTTGCCAGATCCAAGAATACGCGATTCCAAGGGAGCAGTATATGGAGATCATCATAAGGGGTAAGAAAGGAAGCTTCTCACCGAGGATGAGAGGATGGAGAAGTAGTCCCCATGTCTCAACAGCCAAAAGCCCCAACAGATAAGTCTTTCCCAAAAATCCAACGAGGAAACCTTCATTCCTCGAAGCACCAGAAGTTTCCACTTCGTCGCCTTCTCTCCTCTGTGTAGCTCGTTTTGGAGCGTTGTTGGAGAAGTGAGAGGAAAATCCCAACCACATAAGAACAGCGTTCAAAAGCAGTAGCAAAACCTTGATAGGATATTCTTGAGCTTCAAATAGGAGAGGGAAAAGCGAATAGCAAGAAACTGCATAGAAATCGGAGTTTCACATTAGTCTTTCGATTTGTTTGTCACAAAAATGTCCAACCTCCACAACACTTCTACAAGACAATAATTTTCCAAACAAAATGTGGTCTTTGGTGATTTACTGTGCAAATTTGCAAGATTAGTGACCTTTTCAGCTTTTCCCCAGGTTTAAATTTTGATTTTTTTTATTATCTATCAATATAATCTATAGGACACAATCTGTCTGTCCGAGTAATAAAATATTAAAATGAAAAGTAATACAAAGCAAGACAGTCATTTCTAATGCCTTAAACAATCAGTTAACGATAAAAATGCAAGGATTAGAATATGGTAAATTACCTATTGACAAGAAGAAATAATGCTTTGCATCTTCAACACTTTTCAAGGCAACAACAGCCAGAGGTATCACAAAGTGAAGTGATGCTTTCTCATGAACATGCCACCCGAACAGAAAGCCACACGAATAAGCATAGGCTACCCATCTAGTTATCATTCCGGGTTTGGGATTTTTCCAAGCCTTTAGAAGACAAGGAACAAGTGCCAGCAAGACCATTCCTAAGGTCATTAAAGGAGTCACCTGAATTTAAGCATAGTCTGAAATAAGATCATTACTCCGAATTTGAATAGAATTTGTAGAAGTTAACAAGAACACGTCATGTTACGTTTTTGGTCAAAGCATAAGCATGAATTCTGTCATCTATGAGCCAGTAGTCTAAGTAAAGGCAAATGACAAAACACAAATATTTAGTAGCAAGAGATTAGTGTAGTACCGTGGGTAGTACAGCAAAAGGAGAGGAATCTCCGACCAACCCACCAGTGAATGAAGCAGCTGGCGCCTGGATGTTGAAACCGAGTTTCACAAGTACAAACGCAAGAACTTTATCAAGAATTATATAAAACACCCAGAAATTCGGAGCCCAATATGCATGACAGAGTCCCCTACCAAAAGGAAACATGCGGCGAAGGACTTGCTGTATCTGTAAAGGTATAATAGTTCACACATTGGTCAATAAAGGATATATGGCTCAGCAATAAAGAGAACATTCTCCATTAACAGTATCATATACTAAACAGAAACTACAGTATACTTGGTCAGAATAAGTCACCAAGGCTGGCAATAAGTGACCAAATGCTCGTGGCAATTCTATATATGATGCTTCCATTTCTAGCATTATTACTAAAGTTTGCAACTAAGAAAGTCTGGCAATAAATTCGTCAGTAAGGAGAATCTTGAGCAATCAACTTAGCTCAAATGACATTCTTAAAGTCAGGGATTGCACAAGAAAATTTGTTGCTCCTTAAAGGAAGCAATCTGAAACCTTTAATAACAATGCTATAAGCTAATATACTCCAGAAAATTGTATACAAGTGATTAAAACTTCATAGAAAGTACAAAGAATGCATTTTTTTGAATCAAACAAGAGAATTACCTGTCCATAGTACAGGAAAGGTCCAAAAGCTACAGCAAAAACAGCCACAACCACACTCCCCATCAATACCAGTCTCCCAAACCCCTTAAACAGCCCACCCCTGCAATAGTGCCTCAACAAATACACAAAATAAACAGGCGCAGCCACTGCAAATAAATGCTTAAAGCAAAGCAAAATGGCGAACAAGAACCCTCCAAGCAAGTCCCTCCCTTCCTCTAAAGCCGAAAGGGAGAGCAGAAGCAGCCCCAAGAGAAACCCATTGTACTGAAAATGCAAATGGTCCACAATGATCAACCCAGGCGACCAAACAACTAAGACCCAGATCAAGATCCGCTCTTTGAGCTCCAATTTTCGGGTCAGCCGATAAACTGCGTACACCAAAACGGCATCGGAGAGGATGACAGTGAGTCTTTGGAAGAGGATAGTGGCGGGGGACTTGTGGTTGAGTCCGCGGCGGAGGTCGAGCATTATAGGGTCGAAAAAGGGGGCGAAGAAGGAGAGAAAGCGCTCGAAGTGGGCGAATAGCGGCGGGTAGTCGAGAGTCCAGGGGCTAGTCTCGTCAGTGTACCATTGGGAAAGAGGGAGAGAGTGGGTAATGGCGAGCCAATTGCGATGGACCTCAAAATCAGTGCTGTGGTATGCCGGGACCAAGAGGATCTTAAAACAAGCGGCGGCAAGGTAAAACCAGACAATCTCTGAAATGGCGGAACTTGGATTTGGGATCTGGGCTTGCTTGTTGCTCTCGCCACCGCTATGGCGGCGGTGCTTCCGGTGGCTCATTGCCCTGAAACAAGAGAAAGTTGCCGCCTTTGCGGAGGAACGAGGCAAGCGTCAACGGGGAAAGGGAGAGCTAGAAAATAGTTTTGTTTGTTTTTTTTTTCATTTTGGTCCCAAAATTATGAGATCATTTTTATATTTGGCCCTAGATTATTAATTTCTTCACATTTAAACTTATGAATTTTAAATCCTTACCATATTTAGTTTATTTGACCTAATTTTTATCATCAATTTTAAATCTTGATTATTTTATTTATTTGACCAACTGGTTAACGGCGACCGATTATGATTCTGTCATCGCCAACAGTCAGATTATCGTCGGAAATTTATAAAATTGATGCTGAAATTCTAATGACTTGTAATAACAGATCATTTATTAATTTTTAAACTTTATTGTTTTAATATAATGTTAAAAGTTTAATTACATTTTTTAGTTAGAGAGCTTGTGGTCAAAAATAATTTTGGAGGGTTCGCGCTTCAGTGAAAGCGCTACTGACTCAATAATGTCTTAACTGAGACTCGAACTCACAATCTCTTATATGAGTTCAAACCAAATGTTATCTGAGCACAAAGTATTTGATTGTAACATGATTAATAACAAGTAAAATTTAAGAATTTATTTCAAAAAAAAATTAAAAAAAATACATAGACCGTAACATTTAGTCCGTAGTCCGTACTCGTCCCTTTTTCTTTTCTTTTTTTTCTTCGCCGTAAATTCAAGAATGCGATAGCGCAAAAACGAAACCTTTATGGCGAGAGAGAAATAGAGAAACCCGTATCCGGCGAACGCCTCTTATGATTGCCTGAGACAGCAGCCTATTTGCTTTCCCATTTCTCCGACTTGCGAGCCGAGCGATCTCCGATTTTGGTGCCACCATGTTCCGTTACGCCGCCACTCGCTTGTTGAACCGATCGGCATCCCCCGTCGCCGGAGGATCGCGACGATTCTCCACTGATCTCGCCTCCGCGCCGTCCGCCGATGAGGCCTTCGTGTCCGCCTGGAGGAGGACGGTTCCTAACATTGACCCACCCAAGACCCCTCTCTCCTTCATGCAACCTCGCCCGCCTACCCCTTCATCTATCCCCTCCAAGCTCAAAATCAACTTCGTTTTGCCCTATGCTTCCGAGTTCTCCAACAAAGAGGTCTTTTCTCCATTATTCTTGCCATTTTTTTGCTTAGTATTGTTCTTTCATTTCTTTTTGACTGAAAATTTCCTGTGATTTGCTTTGATTTTATGCTGTAATCTCACTTTATTATATACATATCTGTGTGTTCCAAACTTTTGGATTGCCTCAAAAAGTAATCTAATGGGTTTGACATGTTTGTGCTCATGGATTTATTTAGTTGCTTGCATCCTCACAAATAAAATTGATTGGTCACTTTTTTTGGGTGACTGAGGAAGTAAATCATCCCGGGTTGCCCATAGCTGACCGGCTCAAACTAAGAAGGCCAATCGGCCACTTCCGTTAGGAGTTGAACTTGTAACCAAGTCAAAAGCCTAACCAACTTGGATGAAGTTGCCCACTTTAATACTTCGTAAGATGGGTGATGAATTTGTATGGTTTTGAAACTAAAATTTTGCTTCTTTCATGATGATGGATTAGCATATTATGCTGGATTCTTGTTTGTGTTTCTATTGTGATGATGCATGTCGTGGAAAACCTGATTGTTTAGAATTGGCGTATAAGTTATATGACATAAATGGAATCGCAAGAAATGTGTTTTCATAGCTACAACTATCGATGAGTGTGAAGTGTTTATGGAGTCGCAAGAAATGTGTTTTCATAGTTACAACTATTGATGAGTGTGAAGTTTATGGAGTCTCTAGAAATGTGTTTCCATAGCTACAACTATCGATGAATGTGAAGTTTATGGGGTCGCAATAAATGTGTTTTCATAGCTACAACTATCGATGACTGTGAAGTTTATGTTACTAATAACCACCAGGGAATACGAAGTGTCAGATTATCCTCCACTAGTTAATTGCTTCAACCCAAACCATGATACGTTTAAGACTTTCGAAAGGTTGGAAGCATATGGTAGAAAGAGACTTAGTAGTTTTTATCTTATGTTGCAGTGAATGTGTCCCCTTGGTAAGATTTTATTCTATTGATTACATATATAGTCAAATGCTTACTAAAGATCACCTTATAGGCAAATGGCTCATTCTACAATTGGAGCAACATGAACCATTTCTTTTCTGAACCACGATAAGTTAAACAAAAGCATTGCTGTAGAATCATGTGGGTGTAGGTTTGTTTTGTATAGCATGAGTGCACAAAGTCTCTAAGAATGGTTAAATGTTCACATAAGAATGAACGTAAATGGAAGATTAATTAATGAGTCAAGCCAAGTTCAGAAATGCTTTGTCCGCTTGTTTGCGCATCTTTATTCTGAATGTAATGAATAATGATCATCAACATGGAAGATTATGTTGCCAGCAGCTGTCTTATCTAGTTATGTCTTGCAGGTTGACATGGTTATAGTACCAGCAACGACCGGACAGATGGGTATTCTTCCTGGGCATGTCGCAACAATTGCTGAGCTAAAGCCTGGTGTCGTGTCTGTGCATGAAGGGAATGATGTGAAGAAATATTTTGTTAGCAGTGGATTTGCGTTTGTCCATTCAAACTCGATTGCTGACATAATGGCTATCGAGGCAATTCCCGTTGAACAAATTGATCCAAGCGCTGTGCAGAAGGGGTTGGCAGAGTTCACACAAAAGCTCAACTCTGCATCTACTGATTTGCAGAAAGCTGAAGCACAAATTGGGGTGGATGTGCTCAGTGCTCTTAATTCTGCTCTTACAGGCTAGGTGTGGCTTTCTCTTCTGCTCGGTTCAATAATTATCTCCCCTTTTGTCTATCTCGACATGCCTCATTAAATCTTCCAATTCCATCCCTTAATCTAGTACTTCGATTTTTATATTTTCTCTGTTGGATAATGGAATGACAAGTCATTCTTGAAACAATTATGACACGCCCCTTGGGAAAAACCGAGTGGCAACTGGCAAATGCTCTTGTGATGAGAATCTCTCTCTGCATCTCTCATTATTTGCAATATTATGATGTTTCTTCTTCTTATGTTGCAAGAATTGCATACTTATCCCCATTCTGAGCCATTTCGCCCAAGAATTGGAAGTTTTGGCAGATTTTTTGGTTTGATGTTTGGGAATGTCTTATTTCTAATAAATAGACCACTCACAGATCTGTCTGATGAAATGATGAAATGAGATTGCTTTTATGTAGTATTTTCTAGCCATTGATTAATATTGACAGTGCAATAATTTTTGGTTTTTCTTGTCTTCACTCAGCACTACCACCTTTTTTTTTTTTAGTGATGAGGGAAACTTGCAGTCACTACCCAATGACGTGCATTAGGTAAACTTCGTCTTGTGGTCTGGCCAGCAAAGGACCATAAGGAAGTAAATAACACTAGGTTGTCCATAGCTGGTCGACTCACATCGAGAAGACCAATAGATTGCTCCCATTTACCCACTAAGAGCACAACCACCTTTTTTTTTTAATGATGAGGGAAACTTGCAGTCACTACCCAATGGCGTGCACGGGGTAAACTTCGTCTTGTGGTCTGGCCAGCAAAGGACCACAAGGAAGTAACTAAGCCTAGGTTGTCCATAGCTGGTCGGCTCACATCGAGAAAACCAATAGATTGCTCACATTTACCCACTGAGAGCACGACCACCTTTTTTTTTTAGTGATGAGGGAAACTTACAGTCACTACCCAATGGCGTGCACTGGGTAATCTTCGTCTTGTGGTCTAGCCAGCAAAGGAACACAAGGAAGTAAATAACCCTAGGTTGTCCATAGCTGGTCGGCTCACATCGAGAAAACCAATAGATTGCTCCCATTTACCCACTGAGAGCATGGCCACCTTCTTTTTTTTTTTTAGTGATGAGGGAAACTTGCAGTCACTACCCAATGGTGTGCACTGAGTATTGTGGTCTAGCCAGTAAAGGACCACAAAGAAGTAAATAACCCTAGGTTGTCCATAGCTGGTCGGCTCACATCAAGAAGATCAATAGATTGCTCCCATTTACCCACAGAGTTTAACTTGGGGCCTTATCGTTACCAAGCCAAGAGTCCAACCAACTTGTTTATATATCAGCATGGCTACATTGTGGTGCCATTACTCATTAGATTCATTGCCATATGCCCATAAAGCAGGATTTGTCATCATCTTACCAATGAGATGGCAGAAATTGTGTCATAGTGTACAGATGCATCTTCTGCATTATTGCAGCATGTATTTGCTTCTTGAATGACACAATAAAATCTCTTCCTCCCCTTCCCCACTGCCCCTCTATAGGTCACTTTCTCCATTGCATTGAAATTATCATTGTAGGTTAACCTAACAGCTTGAGACTATTGATAAGTGAGTTGCTAACGTAAATGCAAGATCGGATTTTATCAACTCTTTTGTGTGTGTCATCTTAAGAGTCAAATGTTGCATATGTGACGTGGTTTGGGACGAATTTAAATTAATTTTAGTGATGAGAATATCGAATGTTTTATAACACACGGGATAGGATAATGCTTTTCTAAGCATTTTGTATTGGCATTCTGAATTATTATGATTAGGAATTGAAGACAGTGACTTAAGGCCTTAAGGGGGGGACACAACTTCCCAATTTATTTGAGGTGTAGGGGACAACTGGTGATAACAGACATTCTATGAACTTGATCATTATAATAAATTCCAAAAAAAATGGGATGGTCACCCTTACAACACAAATGGTGTTCACATGCATTTTCTAGTTTTTTAAACATGTACATTCATGCGCACAAATAATTTTTCTCAAATCTAAGCTCAAATTAAAATCTCCGCTGTTTGTGGTAAGGATCATATTTATATTGTACATCTTATTATTGAAAGAAAGTTTTAAGTGAATTTTTAAAAAATAAAAACTAATACTTCTTCTTGGCATATGATATTGGGTATCCTCTCCACCACCGAGAAATGAATATGGGTTCAGTTCAAGTTCTGCTCACAAAGCTTGACTCTTACAGACTTATCCAAATATATATATATATATATATATATATATATATATATATATATATATATATATATTAGCCTAGAGTTATTTAACGGGGCACATTCTTTGTAAAGCATATATAACCTTACAGTTACATTAGTTGTCTGCTTACCAAATATCTCAATCTATTTGACTATACTTTGAATACTCCATAAATGATTCATATATGTTTTCAAATGAAAAAAAAAAAAAAAAAAATTACTTGAATATAATTTTTAATTATTATTTTTTCTTTTGTACTATCAACTCTATTATAAGGTAGTATATGTTCAATATATTTTCTTAACCGAAATTCGATCCTATGATATTTCATGACGAAGAGTTACAGAGATGCTAACTGAGCACAAAATGGACTATTATTATTATTAAAGAGATCAATAATGGAAGCATACCTAATCATACTTTTGATAGCTTCCTCAAAGTATGCGAACTATTACATTCTAACATAATTACGAAGTAAAAAAATAAAACGAAAGTAGTCAAAGTACATATAATTAGTTTGGAAACAATTGAGAGGTGGCATGCTATCATGCACCGCTAGATCCAGGCCGTAGATTCCGAGCCTTGTTTGGCGCGATGATGGCATCACATAATTTAATCAAGCGCCACGTATTAATGAGGCGATTCCCCGGTAAGATGTCAAGGACGCAAAAGGAAAATACTTAGTGTACTCCCATATTATACTCTCAACTTGTACTCCTTCTCACATGTTCTTGATTTAGACATTTTTCTGTGGACCCACATGCTGATAATAACCAATCCTGGTTTGCCACCTCAGGGAGTATAAATGAGGGAGTACAATTTGGGAGTCTATATAGTAGAACTCGACGCAAAATAATTCGGCTGACCGGCGGGCACGGGCAATAAGATCCCGGGCAGGAAGACAACGACCTTAAATTTAGTGCTGGTCCCACGGGTGGGTCCCACCTGCGTCTCATGATTGGCTTTCATTGGTTGGAAGGTTGTGTGCGTGTTTTTTAAAATATTAAAAAGTGGGACCCGCCGTTTCGTGTCTTTTATGGGTTGTGGGGCCCTCGTCTTACGCAGCTTCCCATCTGGGAGGGAGAGGAGAGTGTAACGGACAAAAGAGTACAGCGTGAGCGTCATTCATTATTCATTTCTACTCATTCCCATTTTTTGCTTTATTTAAAAGTTGGGTCCAAAAGTTTTGAGAATTTCAAAATTTTGCCTCATGATTCTTATTTTATTTGTTGTTTTATTATTATTATTATTTTGGTCCAAGGAATGAGAAACTTATTAGAAGAATTGTGTGTTCAAAACCTGCACCCTTCGTGCTCACAATACACCTACAACAACCGTTGAAAAGATAACAAAACGATATTGATTATCCTAAACTCCTGATTATGAAAAAAGCAAGAAGCAAAGAAGTCCATGAATCTATTATGTCCCTTGTACATACACTCTCAAGTGTTTCCCCCCTACCTCAAGCAGACTTCAATGATATTAGCCGTGCTATCAGAGTTAGCAATAACCTAGAAAAGCAACGAAAGGATATCAATACACCTAAACTCCTTATCATGGCAAAAAGAGTAAGAAAAATGAAAGTATACGACTCTGTTATGTTCCTTGTATACTCTCAAGTAGTCAAGTGTTCCATCCACCTCAAGCAAACCTCGATGACATTAGTTTTGGCACCTTGATTCAAACTCAGCAGTCAACAACAACCTAACAATAGCATGTGATCTAACCTATTCACTTATTTTGTTTTATTTATTAAAATTCAAATGTTTTTATTAAAGGAGACAATCTGCGTGTTTCCAGAAAATAGTAGACTAAATCTTCATCTTTTTGTTTTTTTCCGAAAACAGTGAATAAGGGTTGTTATAATACATAATAGTATTGTTTAAATTGTAAGTCATCCTCCCAGATACTCTGTCGTGTCAGAATTTGAGGCCCTTAGGGTTGGAGATTTTAATCTTTTAAGAATAATGAATTGTAAGTCATTCGATAGAGGGGTCAAATTTGCAATTCAAACGAAAGAAATGTCATAATATATAAAGTTAGTGAACTTATAATAGATTCCCTATAACGAGTGGGAGCAAAGTGCAAAAACTGATTCTTGTATAATTTTATTAGATGCAATGCACTTTGCCAAACTACCATAGGCCCTAGATTCCAAGCCCAAGGATTCTGGAGAAACTGCCACTGGTTTTTAAATAATATAATTCTGTACCCAAAATGCCCCACACAACAATTACTTGCCCTACCTGTTTTTTAGCTACTGGGCCCACAATACTAAATACTCCGTACTTTATATAAATTTTATGGTAAATTTATACTGTAATATCGAACTAATGTTACTATTTTTCTCTTATTTTATATGTATGGTTCAGTTAATGAAATTTGATTAAATTTTTTTAATTTTAATTATAGTCATAAATTCATAGTCCACTTTTATCAAAATATTCACATTTGATCATAGTATTATTGTGACATGACCATTTTAGTCATCTACCAACAAAACACTTTTAATGTCATTAAATACAAAGTCATTTCAATCTTCAATTACGGATTAAAAAAAAACATAAAAATATAGCGGGTCAACTCACTTTGTATAAAAATGACTGAAATACCTTTGTATTTAGCAGCATTTCAAAGATGTTGATAGAGGCCCAAAACTGGTCATATCACAATAATATTATGACCAAATCGAATATTATGATAAAAAAGAATTAAAAATGGACTGCGACCTATAAATCTAAGACAAAAAAATATATGAGGAAATTTCAATTTTGGTCATATGACTATAGGGGTTTTGTTAATTTCAGCACCCGACTTTCAAAAGTGTCAATTTAATACCTCGACTATGAAATTTTTATCAATTTTGGTCACTCCGGTTAAATTGCCGGTCAAATTTCGCCGGAAAAACTTAATCCTTCATTTAGTCTATAATTTGAGGGGCAAAATCGTCTTTTAAATTTTGGTAAAATCGTCTTTTTTTCCGGCGAAATTTGACCGGTAATTTAGCCGGAGTGACCAAAATTGACAAAAATTATATACTCAAGGTACTAAATTGACTCTTTTAAAAGTCAAGTGCTAAAATTAACAAAGCCCATATAGTCATATGACCAAAATTGAAATTTTCTCAAAATATAATTAACTCTTATTATATTATTTTCTCTACATCAATTCTACTCAAATGCTAATGTATATATAATAGTCCGTGAACAACACATGAGAAATAAATCGTATTTAAAAAAAATGTGTTACAAATTTAACTGAAAAAGTATCGATAAAATCAAATTCGTAACTTTTTAATTGTAAAATTGTATTAGATAGAAAATTTCTAATAATAGGTTGTCCCAAAATTAATAGTCCTATATACATATTAATGTAGGGCAAAAAATTATTCTAGAAACTGACACTGGTAAACATATGATTTGTCTGTTGGCTGTACAGTTTTGCTAGCTTGTGTTAATTAAAATACTTAAAAAATAAACCAATCAACTTATAATTGACAATCTCTCTATATATAAAGTTGTTGAATCCTTCTCTTGCCACTGGCATCTTCTCAAAATCTCCATTTTCTCTCAGCTCCTCCAATCTAGCTTCATCATCTTCTCTCTCTGCATCTGCATATCCATTATATTCTCAGACAGAAAAGATCAAAAGAAAAAGAAGAAGAAAATGGAGTCAAGAACAGCTTTGTATTATACTGGGTGTGAAGAACACCAGTATCAACCCCATTTTCTTGATGCTTGCTTCCTGTGCCAGAGATCTTTGGGTCCTAACAGTGACATCTTCATGTACAGGTTAGCTTCCCCATATGCATGTATGTATATATAATATTTCTCGAACTTATAATCTTGTGGTTACTAAGTTAATCTTCTGATCTAAGAATCTTGGTTAATTGGGGTTTTGTTGTGTGGATTTGCAGAGGGAATACACCATTTTGCAGCCAAGAATGCAGGCAAGAACAGATAGAGATGGATGAGGCTAATGAGCAAAGACTGAAGCTTTCATCTTCATCTTCTTCAAGATCTTCTTCTTCTTCAAAGGGATCATCAAAAACACAAAGACAGACAGCAACCCAGGAATCCACAACCCAGGAAACTGACACCAAGAAAGCTGTAAGAACAGGCACAGTGGCTGTGGCTTAATCACACTACAGATCAGAGCTCTCAAGTATAAATTATCTGTAAATAATACTGGTGGATATCAGATGGAGAGAGAGAGAGAGATCCATCAGACAATTTTGAATCTTTTTTGTTTTTTGTTTCTGGGTATTTTATTGACATTCTCCTCTTCAGATGTTGCTGAGATCTATGTTTATACATAAATTGAGATCCCAAGAAATGGGATGTTCTTGCCTTCTTGGAATTTGCAATCTTTAATGATGTTTGTATACAATATGCAAATCTGAGGCTGATGAACATGTTCATAGTTACATCTTTCTGAGATTAAAAGGTTAGAAAGAGAAACAGTTGATGAGAGATTCATATGAGTTGCTAGAACAGAACATATCAGGATTGGATTCTCTGCAGTTATCAGATTCAATCACCACATCAAAGATACAGTCAACTGTTGATAGAGTAATAAGCAGGCAAACTAATTAATATAATAATGTTGATGGGTTTATCATATAAAATAGTTGATGTTATGTGATACTGTATCAGGTTTAAAAATGTAAAAAATGTTATGGAGTATATTACATATTTGAGATTCGTTATGTCTAAGCTGATCTTATAAGTAAGTTTTTACGATCATAAAAACGATTATTATCTGTAAAATAGTACTTTAATTATGTTGGATATGCTTCAATGGTTTATATAGATCGGTTCTTCAAAGTCCAAAATACTTGTATATTAGTAGTCTTAATAGTCCCAATTTTATACCTCTCTTAGTTAATATGAATTGATTCTTGTACCTTAGAGCACCACCATTAATAATTTTTGCTCAGTTTTTGAGGAATTTATAGCTGAAGTGAGGGGAGAGAAGAGGTGAAACCCTCCTGCAAAGAGTAGTTTTTTATCTCTAACATGGGTCCCACACAAATTAAAAAATGATCGCGTTTTCTTGCGTGACGTGCAATATAGTGCCCAAGTGAACACGTTAACTGCGTTTTTTTTCTTTTTTTTCAATATTGCATCATATATATATATTTTTCCTTCTTTCTCCCTTCTTTCTCTCATAGTTGGCACATCAAAATCCACAAAAAATTACTCCTATTTTTGGTAGTAAAACAAAATTTGAATTTGTTAATCAATTGAGTTAGGTATGAGATGAAGATGATTCACTTGAAGGGACTTTATGGTTAATTAAGTTAGAATCTTCTACATAACAGTGCTGTCAAGCTGAAAGTGAGGGGATTAAAGATAAGAGGAGCTGAGTCACACCTCATCAAACAATGGCATCATTTGATGGGACACCACTTTACTGATATAAAAAAGTTACAATTTTTAAAAAGACTTTTAGCAAGGTCATCAAGAAAGAATTTAAAAAGGATGCAACTCCAATAAAGTTAATTGAAAATTTATTCTGATAATCACAAAGTTTTAAGTTTAACTCTTTACAAAAATTGTCTATTAATTTTCTTGATTTTATCTGTATTTTGTTTACTAAAGTTTTAAGGTAAATTTCATTTGATACATAAATTCAATAGCAGTTACATGTTTTTTTTTTTTTTTTTTTGTAAATCAAAGAAAAAGTTAAAAGAAAAGGTGTTTGATAGAGAACTGTGCAATAAGCAAATGCCAAATGAGCAACAGGCAAAAGCAGGTGGAGACAATTCAATCAAGAGCTGTCCATAGTACTGTAGTGAAATGGATTCATTTTCAAGCCTGCAAAGATGAATATAATCAATTAAGCAAAAAGGACATGAAACCTTTAACATAGTAGAAAGCAGACAGTGAAACATTGGGCCTATGTGTCACCATTTCAATCCAACTTGCTTGCTCTTCCATGGTTTTGTTTGATACTAATACACAACTGAATAAGAAGCTTCACTTAAGACTTACTTTCAACAACAGGGTGGAGCTTCGATTTCTGCCACGTATATATAGGGTTCAGGTTTGAGTTGGGCTCCTTGTGTGCAAAATCTCACAGTGAATATTGATGTAGTATGAGATACGATTCTTGAGTCGGTTCCGAGTTCGGATCCTTTACCTACTCCGCTTGTTGGTTTAAGTTCTAAGGCTCGGAATACTTGACAGTAGGTCAGAGGCTTCCAAGCTAATAGCTAGCGTGTAGAAATAGTCAAAAGTCCCCCTCTTAACAATAAATGATGTATTTATAGGGAAGAGGAGGGAGCAAGTTCCGGTCACGCGGCACGTGAAACACATGCACGGGCTTAGCCACGTGCTCTGATATTCTTGAAGGCCTTGCATACTACTACTAGAACTAGGTCAGTAGGTCGGTCACGACCTGAGTAAGTCAGGGCGTAAATATCATAAAGGCACCTTTGCAAGCTGCCCTTAACGGAACTCGGTAAGCGAGGAGATCGGGAGCGTGCGGGTACGAGGTCGGGGCGGGCCCAGCTCGCGAAGAGGGTCCGATACTGACCATCATACACACACGATTATCGAGAAATAATCTCTATCAAATATATTCCGAAAAAGTTGGGAAGTAAATATTATATTCGAAGTTGACAAAAACTCATATATAAGCTCTCTACCTAAGCCAATTTAACATAGTGCAGACAAGTTGAAACCTTTATATACTTCCTAACCATGTTTCTAATCTACACAAATACTGCACAAATATCAATCAAGTTATGCAGAAGAAAATAGCATTTTTTTTCAAGTAACTTTAGCCCTCTGCATGATCATAAACCCTTTTCTGCTAAGCCCACCAACGCGTTCGCTTAGTTTAGCCAAGTGTGCTATCCGTCTTTTTTCTGATTCTGTAGGCCCATTCTGCTCGGGCTCTTGGTCATCGTCGACTGGATCTTCTGCAGCAGACTGGAAACGTTCGAACGAGGGGCTGTTTTCGCTGCAACTCTGAATGATCTGTTGCAGAGTTTCAACTACTTCGCTCATTTTCGGTCGAGCCTTTGGACTCTTAGACAGACAACTATCTGCTAACTTTGCAATCCTCCTAGCTGCACTTTCTGAGTACTGGTTTTCCAGTCTTGGATCCATTATCGTGCTGAATTTCCGACTTTCTGCAGGGAAATGCTTAATCCAGCTCAAAAGTTTCTGTTCTGAGCTCGGTCTGCTTCTCTCGATCGATCTTCTTCCCGTTAGGATCTCGTAGAGTACAACGCCAAAGCTCCATACATCACTCTTGGATGTGAGATGACCAGTTTCGATGTAATCCGGGGCTGCATATCCATACGTTCCTACAGCCTATTCACACAAAACGAATTCTATGGTCACTTATATGTCGAAAAGCAATTTTTTTTTACTAATAAGTGTCGGGTTTTATGAAGGTAGCTTACTGCTGTGGAGACATGAGTGTGAAGACCCGTCGGGCCCTCCCTAGCAAGGCCAAAGTCCGAGAGCTTTGGGTTGAAATCGTTATCTAACAACACGTTTGAAGACTTGAAATCTCGATATATAACCTGTACCATTGAGGTAGGACAAGGTTTAACTAATTCAGATGCACACAATGGAAACGTCTCTCTCTCGTATAAAGCTTCAAAGATAGAGACATGGACGACAAACCTGAATTTCCAATTCTTCGTGCAAATAAGCCAATCCCCGAGCTGCTCCCAGCACTATTTGCAGTCTTCTTTGCCAGGTAAGAGCGGGATAAGCCTTGTTGAAAAGATGGTCTTCGAGACTCTTGTTCTGCATAAATTCATAGACGAGTAGTCGCTGTATACCCCTCTCCCCATCAACACCACAATATCCAATTAGTTTGACAAGATTCGGGTGCTCCACAACCCCGAGAAATTGCACTTCTGCTACCCATTGTTTATGGCCCTGCAGTGGAAATAGCGGATATAGCTAAGCAATCTATTCAACCCAAATTTCCTAGTAAGATTCTTGTCTATAATAGAGCCTAGGAGATCCTATATAATAAGCAAAGCTTATAAACTTGCAAGAAAAAATAGATGGTTTTGAATATCAGCCACTACCTGAGGGTGTGCATTGGGTAAACCATGCCTTGTGACCCTAACCGGTAAATGACCATAGCTAACTGACTCAAACCAATAAGGTCAATAGGCCACTCCCGTTGGGTGTCGAACTTGTAACCTTACGGTTACCAAATTAACAGACCAACTTGGCTGGGGTTGCCCCCGAGAGATATCTATGTTGGCAGAATAAATCATTGTTGTTCTATACCCAAGACATTAAACAAGGCATAATATCATTTTTATGGAATTATTACTCATTTTGGAAGCATAGATTATGCAACCTTAAAATAATCCAAAAGCATCCACAATGACATCAAACAGAACAACAATTCTAGCAATAAACATTAGCTAAAAATCGATGTCAGTGTTATAATCTAAGATTGAGCCAATGTCACTCAACTGAGCAGTAATGCACGTGATCAAACCACACTAAAAGACTGAATCCAATAAATTAGCTGGTCTAACCATGACCTTATAAACCCATATGTTTCTCTCTTATTTTTCAACGTGGGACTCTTAACAGTCAGAAAGCGTAAGCAAAGGGGCATGGAGGTTATACCTGATAACCGTCTCGATTGAGTTTCTTAATAGCAACGACAACAGGTTCACCATTTTCATCAACGGGCTTAATTTTTCCCTTGTAAACGCACCCGAACCCGCCTTCGCCAATCTTCAACAACCTGCTGAAATTATTGGTTCCCTGTCTAAGCTCACTGAAAGAGAAGACTCTCAGGTTCTGAGCTTTCCCTTCATACACCTCAGAGAAACTGGGGTGGGATGAAGCTGAACATGAAGATATTGCAGCCCTCTCAGTTCCTGAAACATCTGATTTACTCTCCTCTTTCAACACTGGTGCAGATCTTTGCCCCCTAGCTTTGCCCTTTTCCTTGAAGTAAAACAAACAACTCATTTTACTTGTTTTTTTTGGCCTTTTTGCTCTCTTTCTCTCCAGATTCTATAAAAGCTATCAAGACTCAATTTCTAGCTCCCAAAACAACTATTTTTTTTTTGCCTTTTTGCCCTCTTTTTCTCTCCAGAATCAACAAAAGCTATCAAGATTCAATCTCTAGCCCCCAAAACTACTCATTTTACTTGTTTTTTTGCCCTCTTTTTCTCTCCAGATTCTACAAAAGGTATCAAGATTCAATTTTTAGCTCCCAAAACTGACATTTCCTCTGACACAAAACAAATGACCAACAATACAGATAAACAACTACTATCAGGACATCAAGTTTAGCTCTAGAACAGAAATGATAGCATGCAAGATACACAAAGAAAGAAGAAATGGGGAGATTCAAGAAGAGTGAAGGTGTGATCCAGGCCAAAAAACATCCTTTAGAATTCAAGAAAGAGAGAGAAATGTAAGCATATATATGTAATCTCAGTGACTCAAGAAGCAAGTTTTTACTTTTATTGCGTATATACGCGTCTTGCCTGGTTTTGTTCAACTGCTAGGACTCCTTAGCCAAGAAAGACACCAGATTTTCAAAGCAGCAGACGAATAGAGATAGCTTGTGAAACTTTCTTGTAATAAAATATGTATATGTATATACCCGAAGAGTGTATGTCAATCTTTTCTTCTGTTTACTGAGAAAAGAGCTATGAATCTTTCTTTGATTTGGGTATGAGGTTGACTGCTCTGATCTGGATTCTAGGCTGTCTCTCCCTCTTCTGTCCATGTCAGGGATGGTGGCTTTAATAAATATATATTTGTTTGTGTGTTCTTTGACTTCATCTAAAGGGAAGCCCGAAAGGGTCCTACGTTAAGGTCAATACTGAATAGCAACAGGAAACCGGCAATTTAATATGGGTAACATCATCCAACAAAAAATTGGGTTTATATTTTTTAAAGGGAAAATGACACTTTTTCTCCCTGTGTTATATGCTTATAGCACTTTTTCCCCCTGAGTTATTCATGCATTCACATTTGTCCCCTCAATTATTATAAAAGTGGCGGTTTTTCCCCCTGATAATATTAAATGGACATTTCTACCCTTAAAACAAATATTTTATTTATTTCTCTTCTTCAACAAATTATTGCTTATACGTAGGGATGACCACGGTTCGGTTCGAACTGAACCAAACACTATAGCAATCAAATTAAAAAATTTCGGTTATGATTCATAACATAACCCAATATTTGGGTTTCCGTTTATTAAAATCGTGAACTGGAAAAAAATGGATCATGAACCGTGAACCAGAGGTTCAAATCTGATTAACTACTAGCAATAGCTTAAATTAGAATCATAATATTTGCAAATAGTGTATGTTTTTTTTCGCATTTATATTGACTCTCACATATAAGTATATATAATCGCGGTTTGAGTTTTATTTTGAACCGTCGGATCACAATTTTGGATCCAATTTGAACGGTTGGTTCAAACTTTCTTTTAAAATTTTATTTTTTATTTTTAAAATATTCTAAATTCAACACTTAATGTATTTTATTTTTTCAAATCGTGGTTATAATTTGTTGGAGAAGAAAAATAAATGAAATATTTATTTTAAGGGTAAATATGTCCATTTAATATATCAGGGGGAAAAACTGCCACTTAAATAATTTAGGGGGAAAAAGTGCTATAAGTATATAACAAAGGGGGAAAAAGTGCCATTTTCCCTTTTTAAAATTATTTTGAAATTATTTTTTTAATAATTGAATTGGTAATTTATAAAAAAAAAAAAAAAAGTCAATTACCTGTAAAAAAAAAAAAAAAAAACTAATTAAATAAATTTAGTAGGTAAATATAATTAATTAGCCTTTAATTTAGTTCATGATGGGAATTGGGCAAATTATGTTGTGCATCCGTATGCACCAAGCATGGTGCATACGGATGCAAAAACGACGTCGTTGTAATAAAATGCGCGTCTCCCCTTAAAAAAAAAAAAAATCAGGTTCGAAACTATAATTCCATAATCGATGAACTATATTTCCATAATCGATGAACTATAATTCCATAATCTAATCTATGAATTAAAAATTTTAGAATGAATGAACTAAAATTTCAGAATCGATGAACTATAATTCCAGAATTGATGAACTATAGTTCCATAGTCGATGAACTATAATTCCATAATCCATGAACTAAAATTTCATAATGAATGAACAAAATAATGTTGTTACTAGGAATCGAACCTGAATTTTTTTTTAAAGGGGAGACGCGCGTTTTTAATAAAACGACGTCGTTTTTGCATCTGTATGCACCATGCATGGTGCATACAGATGCACAGCATAACTATTCTGGGAATTGAGCACTTGACAATAGTACATGAGCCTATTTGACACTACTCTTTTTTTTTTAAAGAAGCATTTTGGGCCAATATTCGGAAAATAGAAGAAGCATTTACTTGGGTTAAATGGGCTGTTAGCCCAAAGTACAAGATCCAATATTGGCCTATATAATCCCCAAAGCGCTAATCGGGCGAAATCTAGGGTTTTACACTTTCATTACAGCCGCGTCATCTTCATCCCCAACCCTCAGGCAGTCTCTGCATTGCTCAATCAAGATGGTACTTCCTCTTCTGTAATTATTCATTTGCGCTATTATTTTTCCCGATTTTAATACTCCGTATATGAGCTAAATGTATACAATTTTTTTTTTTTATTAAAAAGAAAATCTATATGCAATATGCTTATCAATATGATCTGATTTGAGTGATTGTTATAGCTGGTGATTATCTTCAATAAGAAATGATAATATATGAATTTCTCTCTTTTACTAGTTGAAGCAGAGAGGTGTTATTTCATATAATTATTATCGTTGTCGTGCATTATTAAATAATTAGGTATTCAGTCTAATATAGATTTCTATGTAAAATGTAATTGAATATCAGTGAGATTATATTTGTGTTTGAAAAGTAACAGAAATGCTGAAGTTGCACAAGTACTGGACATGGCTTATTGGTTGTTGAGCTATGAAGGTTTTAAATTTCAGTTATATGCCTGTTGCTTGCAATAAAATAATTCCTTGTTTTTTTTTGAAGCTGTAGTTTTAATATGTGGGTTAAATTTAAGCTTATGTGTCAGTTTCTAGCTAAGAAAAAAGGTTTATGCTTTTTGTGTTATTGTCTTAGATTTTCCATTTGGCCGATTATTGTTGCTGCATTATGAAATCCTGTGCTTACTTGTCTTGGTTCACATTCCTGTTGACATGAATTTTGTTGATTTATTCAGACCAAGAGAACCAAGAAGGCTGGTATTGTAGGAAAGTATGGTAAGTAGATTCTCATGTAGATCAAGATTGTATTCATGTATTGTATCATTGTTATGCAAGTAGTAATGCATGTTGGAGACTGAGTATTTTCTTCAGAGCTTCACTTTGAAAGCATTTCTAACATTAAGTTGTTTCATTTTTTTTTCCGACTAGTTAGTCAGTAGTAGTTCATGTTTGATAAATGTGTGAACTCATAGTTCTATGCTTTGGGGTGCTATGTGCTTACCAAGTCACATCTCTGCCAAAATGCCAGGTACCCGTTATGGTGCGAGTTTGAGAAAACAAATTAAGAAAATGGAGGTTAGTCAGCACAGCAAGTACTTCTGTGAGTTTTGTGGAAAGGTTAGTTCTTTTTGTCATTTTGATTGTTATTTCATGTCCTGGTATGTATAGGATTGAGTGTATTATAAAATTCTACCTTTGCAGTACGCTGTGAAGAGGAAGGCTGTTGGTATTTGGGGATGCAAAGATTGTGGGAAAGTGAAAGCTGGTGGTGCATACACACTGAAGTAATTTCTCTTCTGATTCTCTGTTCTGTGTTTTTTTTTTAATTATTCTTGTCGAAGTAATAATCTGGGGTTTCCCTTGTTTTTGCAGCACTGCTAGTGCTGTGACTGTTAGGAGCACCATCCGAAGGCTCCGAGAGCAGACTGAGAGCTAGATTCATTTCATTTTAGATGGAAGTCAAGTGTGAGGCTTTTGTATTACGTTTTCTTTGGATCTGTGACTTTGCAATTAGAAGCAATTTTTATGTTAGCTGAAAGTTTTTGATATGTTTGAATCAACTTAATATTACCGAGTATTTATGATCTCACTTGATTCTAGACTTCTTCATTACATGTTCTTTGTTCTGGTTCCTAATGTTTTTTGTACTATCACGATTAGCATTGTGTCATTTGCATCAGGTATTGTGCCAATTTAGACATGGTGATAATGATCGGGAATCAAACGTTTCCTTGATCCTTTCTTTTGCTTTTTGCAACAATTGTTATATCGTAAACCATGACATGTAGTCATATTATTAAACATGATGCCACTTATAATGTAACAAGATGCATTGATGATGTTACAACTTAAACAGGGCACAAGAGAAGAGACAAAAAAATGTCATGTATTATTAGCTTGTGGCATAACAGGAAAAGATTTGTTGCACCAACTTCATTTAATTTCTCACTAGTCATTAATATACATACAGGCTGGCTGGATAACATTTTTCCTCAGTCGCCAGCTCTCCCTTTATACAGCTACCAAAAATTTACAGTGACCAACTAGCAACTCAATCAGCAGCTTGCTTGTATGGTCATGTTGTACTTGTACTATACTACTATACACTAATACCACTTCAAGTCTGTAAGTTCCACAGACTTAAACTCAGTCTCCAGCACTCAAAAGGTTATGTACACTTAACCCCATGGAAGTCGTTACATTACAGGAATAGGGAGCTCATCACTGTTTCTGCGGTGATGCATTTCTTTCTGCACCGCTTTCACTGCTGCTACTCTTGCTGCATTAGCTGCCTTGTTCGCTGCTGCTACTGTCCTGTTCACTCTTTCGTCAACCTTTGCCACATTGTAGGCCTTCTTGGCTGCATGTCGTGCTTCCTGAGAGATGAAGAGCCATTTTAACATTAAACACACTACTTTTTTCTTTCCCCTATTGTTGGATTCTAGTTCTAGAATAAGATTCAATCCTGATTTCCATAGGATACCCAACAAGAAAGTTCAAGTCATGGATGGTTCAACATGCCAATTCTTCATGGAATGGATATAGGGTCAGAATTAGCATGCATGCATTGTAAGTATGTGACCCTCGGGATCAAACTGTCCTAAAACCTATGGCGTAAGTAAATCCTAACCGGAACAGTGATTGCTAAAGCCACAATTTATCATGTAAATAATAAGAAGATAGGTCAATAACAATAAGCATTCTCCAATTATCTACACACAAAAATAACTATGAATGATGATTCTACCTGGACGGCATTCAACACTTTTGAGTGGTAAACAGCCACGGGAGATCCAGGATAGGGCACACTCTGTGTGCTTGGAAGGTCAAGAACGCCATTATGCCAGTGACCCGAATGGGTTTCTCCATTCCTAAAAGTATATGTCCCCAATCCTTGTCTTCTTCCCTCGTGCCAAGCGCCTTCAAAACGATGCCCATTGGCAAAATGGTACACTCCAAATCCGTGCATCTTATCAGCAAAATATTCTCCAGCATAAGTGTCAGAATTCCTAACACACGAGAGACTAATAAATCAGCAGGGATCAAAACACTATTGATTCGAAAAACAATTAAGGCTTCAACATAGATATTTCCTAAATGTAACTCATTCCAAGAACTCCAAATTAAGAAAGCATGCTTATTAAGACACTGCAACTATCGAATAAAGTTCACTATCTTCAGACTCCAGTATATGAATATATGAATGTCCAACAACAACAAAAGATGAAGATTCTTAAACATGCCTGAAATGGTAGTGGCCAAGGCCATGCTTGACACCCCATTTGAATTCGCCAACATATCGGCTACCATCCTCACAGGTATGCACCCCACAGCCATGGCCCTGGCCATTTGACCATTCTCCAGCATAAACATCACCAGTATAAAACCGATAAACGCCAAAACCATGCCTAAGTCCCTGCCTATATTGGCCCCTGTATTGACTTCCCCTTGCCCATGTCTCCACTCCATGCCCATCATACTTGCCATCAACCCAATCCCCTTCAAATCTTCCACTCATGTAATAATAGTAAACTCCACTCCCATTACATTTCCCCTTATGAAACTCACCCTCATACACATCACCATTGCTATATGCCTGCACCCAACACCCAGAACTCACTTTCTTGTCATACTTTGGCCAAGAACCGATTGACCAGGACACAGGCAAACGCCTTCTGGAGACATGGCTGGATAGAGGGAGTTTGATTGGGAAAGACCTGGCAAGGAACAAACGGATAGAGGGCAGTCTGGGGAGTGCCAAATGCAGGGAGAACAAAAGCGCTGCTGAGAAGGCAAAAGCGGAGAGGAAATCAAGAAAGATGGAGTTAGTGGGGTGGGAAACGAGGAAATAGAAGAAAGGCAAGGAGAGGAGGATGATGAGGCGGAGGTGAATCCGGACGACGCGGCGGAGGTGGTAGAGCTGGTGGTAGAAGTGGGAATGGCCCAGAACCCTAAACGGGTACGGGCCATTCGCGGAGGGCGGGGCGGAATAAAACGGGTATTTATGCAGAGAATTGCTCAGAGTGGGGGATTTGGTCATCGAGTTGATGGAAGAATTGGAGGAATTATTCCCGGGGAGAATTCTCTTGTGAGCGGTGGTCTTCCCGCCGGCGGCCACCGCGGCCGGCGAGGTGGAGGCGGATGCAATCGGACGATTTCCGTCGTTGATAATGATCTGGAGAGTGGCATTATCATTGCTATTATTATTATTATTACTATTATTCCCGGCGGAATGAGAAGAACCGAAGATCAAAGCATGAGGATCGAGGCGGCAAATTTGGGAGTGCTTCTGGTGAAGCGAGGAAGAGGGAGAAAGCAGAACCGGATTGAAATCGGAAGAGACGCCACTGCTTTCTTTCCCGATCTGAACTTCAGACTTCTTCTGATGCATTACCTATACACAAACACTCTCTCTTCACTTCATCTCTCTCTCTCTCTATCAACAAAAACTCTGTTATCTCTGCAAACCAATCTCCGGAGAAAACAGAATTTCATCACTTTCTAGAATTGACGGTTGTGAATTTGCGGTTGACTTTCTCTTTCTCTCTCTCTCTCTCTCTAATATACCGGTATATATAGATATAGATATCGATATATGTGTGTGTATGTATGAATGTGGTGTATGATGGAGGAGAAAGCGGGCGGAGCGGCCGCAGTGCAAAGTGGCGATCGGCCACTAGACAATAGCGGGATAACCAATAAAATAATCCGTAATAAATCCCCAAAATTCTTTTGCCCTCTTAATTTCACTTACTACCATAATGCCACTGCTACTTGAAATATGGATTTTTTTTCCTGTTATTTGTCTTATATATTTATTATTTATTATTATGGATAACTATCATTTTTAATTGAAGTGATAAGTTTTTGGAAAAAGGTTCAAATGGTCCGTAAGTTAAAAAAAAAAAATCTATTTAAATTCTTTAAATTTGTAAAATTATTTAATTAAATACAAATCAATACGTATAGCAAGTTAATTCTTCTCAAGTTTGACACGTATTACTTTTACAATATTTTTTATTAAAAAAAAAATTATTTAAAGAAAAAAGTGATTTAGCCACCGACTGGGACACTCGTCCCAACAATGACGGTCAAACATGAGGTCTAAATCTAGACAATCTGGAACAAAGGCCATCCCATGCCACCCTCGTTCCAGGCCGTTTGCAGTCCGATTATTCGTTATCTTCTTTTGTATTAAAAAAATTAATATTTTGATCATGTTTGATAACGTAATTAACTTATCAGTCAATTTTGACTTATTTAACCATTATTGAGTATTTGATTATTTAGCTTTTTTAACCGTTTATTACTCCAAAACGATAAAATTCAAAAAATTACTCAAAATATTTTTTTCAATAAGCTTTTTGGAAAAAATATTTTTGCATGTAATTAGTTATGAATTAACAATTAATTTATCAAACATCTTTCTACAATCAACTAATACTATCAATTAATCAAACTCACTAACTCAATTACCTAACAACTATTTATCAAACACCCCTTAATCAATTTTCCATTATAATTGTTTTTTGTCCGTTCTAGCCGCCATGAGGAAATATATTCAACAACTAATATTCTAATGAGATGCCTCAATTCAAAAATAATAATAATTAAAAATGATAATTCAATAACTGCAACTATCCAATCTGATATTGATTTAAAGGCCAATTACATTTTGTCTCTCAATTAAACAAAGTTCAAAAGGTCTATTGCTCCAAGAACTAAAATTGAACTCTTTTTTTTTTTTCAAAAGTTAAGAATGTACAACAAAAAGTTAGACTAAAACGACAGGTTAATAAAAGAACTAAAAAAAACACATTTCCCATTATTATTTAATAAAAGAAAATAAATAAACAGGATTTATAAATATCAATTTGGGATGAGGAGTCTATATCTCAGAAGGATGGGGTGTCTCTGAAAGTAAATAATAAAAGCACTTTACACATGACACAGCAGTGAAAAGGAATGAGGGGCAAAGTGGAGGTAGCTGCAAAGAGAGAAAAAGAAAAAAGCAAAAGCAATGATAGATACAACTCATAGGCACACACAAATTCTATATTCTTGTAAGTTCAAAGGGAAGAGTGCATCATAACTAAACACAACCAACCACAATAATAATGCAAGTATTGAAATAAAACAGAAGGGTTTGGTTTCACAGTAGGGCCTAAGCTTTGTCAGCATTATGGAATTCCGCAAATATCAGAATGGCAAATTATTCTGTAGACCCAGGTCCAAAGATACACAATTTATGACCTTGTATTGTATTCGCAAATTCTCAAAACTTAGAAACACAATTTATATTCTAGAAGTTCACAATTCCAAGACTAAAAATACACAATTTAGGACCAGGGTCCACCTTGCAAGGTGGACCTGGTCCATGGTATAACAACTGTACAGAATCTAGAGAGTTTGTTTATAGTAATAATAAAATTAAAAAAATTTAAAAGGGTCCATATCAGATGTTTGGTCACCCAACATTCAACTAGGAAAATACCAACAGGTCTGACCATGTACAATTGGGTTAAAATGCTATAAAAAAGACTGGAATTGGTACATTACCTTCACCATTAAATGAAACTTGTAACACTTGAGACTTGAGAGGGGTGGAGTGGGGTTGGGGGTGGGGGAAGAAATTAAAGTATAAACATATAAGTACAAAGTTGGTTACTGATGACAATTATCAACCAGGATAGAAAAATGCACGCCTAAATTCACAGTGCAGACTAAGGCACGAGTTTAGCTTGACAGACTGGGTATAGGTGCTTTCTGTTTTATCAACAAAGTAGTTCCTGCATATCAAAGACCGCTTTGCTTTACCTGGCTGCTAACGACTTGCACATCAAGGGAGCCAGATCGGAGTTCTCTTGGAAGAAAAATGATTATCCCAACACAATGCCACCACTTATTTTCATGGCTTGTGGAGTTTGAAGCCGAATACTTTTGGGATATAGCTCTGACTTGGTTTTTGTGGCTTGAGGTGTCCATAAGTCATCAAAAAGAGGTGAGGAAATGTAGTCCCAAAATAAGCTCCGTCAATATCTTGACAAGTGAAGGAAATCAAATCCAGGGGATACAAAAATTAACAATGGAAAGGGTGAAGTAGCATGAATCAGGTCATACCAATCTAAAAAACGAAGCAGAGGCACAACAAAAAATAAAAAATAAAAAATAATAATAATAACAATAAACATGAAAAGCCAGTGCATCAAAAGGATACTTCCTTGGTACTTGGATCGTGGATAGTAGATATCTTCGCATCTTGGGCAATATATTTTAACAGTACTTGAGCGTGGAATGTCAGACTGCCCAACAGGAAGGCAAGGCTGTCCACAGCAATAAACTCGTGGGCACCTCCCAAAATCATAGTTTTTGTACTTGTCTAACTGTAAAAGGGTTTAACAACAAATTACACAAGCTAAGCAAATGAATTACCAAAGTACTATTGAAATCCAGATAATGCATTAATCTTGAAAAGCACACTACCATTGCAGTCAAGCCCTTGGTTGTCAGAATATATCTCACATGAATCAGGCCGTACAACATTTCTGCTGCTGACTCAACAAGTTCATTCTGCTCTTCAGTGAATATATCACCTATGCACATACATAATAGGGAGACAATAATGACTCAGAACTTTTATCTAACCACTAAATTCTTGTTTCAAAAAAAAAAAAACTACTAAATTCTTGGGGACCTTCCCTACTTTACTTGTCCATTTAAGCTCAAAGTGAACAAAAATTCAATGAAACAACTTAAGAATAACAATGAAAAAAGCCTCCGGATCATATACAATCATTTTACATAAAAGAATCCAGATTTACCATGTAAATTTAAGAAAATTAGATGTCGCATTGCAGACCAGAATACTGACTACCTAGGGTCACCACAAGGTTCCTTTTATCCTTGCATCCTATACTGGAGGAACAACCTATTGTAGGTTATTTCTTATACTTAGTCAACAATTGAGTCTAACATTTTTTAACCTATTTTCCCTAGGTTTTTTGGTTCAATACCAAAAAATAATTTCTCCTCTACTCTCTTTCCATCTGATGTATACTAAATTGCATATAAATCCCAAGCTCAGAATTGTATCCCTCAATCAATACAAGAGAACTCCAATTGGAATATGGGATCTCTCATTGGCTATATATTTTACCAAGTTGCATATCAATCCAAGGCTCAGAATTGTATCCCTCAATCAACTCTGGAGACAACCCCAGTGGAAATATATATACTACTAAGATTGTGTCGTAAATTATACAGCGTGCAAGGAATCGCCTAGCAAGGTGAGCCCTAGCTTGATGTTCATAATATTTCAATTTAATGTCATTATTATATTGATCATTGTGTTTGAAGTAATATTCAATATCAGAATGTTCATCAAACTGGAACTAAATGTACATGACAGTTGAAGTAAATCCTTATTGGGGCTCATGTGAGCGATGGATTATAGATACCAATTAAGAGCCAAAGAGCTTACCATGGGAGGACTCAACATCCAGAATGAGGTCAAGTGCATAATCATAGTACGGAACTTGACTGCTCAATCCACAAAGGTTGAAATCATCTTGTATGTACTCATCATCAACTTCACAGAAAAACTCATTTCCTCGCAGGTTGCAGAACCATGAAATCCACGACGTATCTTCCCCATCAGAACCGCTAACATCAGACTCTTCACTGTCTGTTTCAGATTCATCTGCAAAATATTTCATTCGTAGAAAGGGAAGATATTTCATTTCGACACATGAAAATCTCAACGTAATTGGAAGGAACTAACTTGAGCAGACTAAATCACATATTCAAAGTTCAACAATTTGCAGTGAAGCCCAGACTTATCACATCTTAAGCAAACAAGAATTAATTCTAAAAATATGATCTTAGAGCTATATTACTAAACTAATCTTAGAGATAAATAACAACTCCATAATCCATATGAGTATGATAATGTCCAGACTACATAGTATCTAAAACACCACGAATGAGCATAATAAAACAAAAAAATTCCAAAAATGGAAAAAAAATCTCGAGGGACCGACCATCGGAGCATTTGTTCTTAGTGGTAAGAGTGGAGGAAGAGCGGGCGTCGAGCTGCTGCTGCTGCAGCGATTTGCCGGTGGCGTTGGAAACTGCCTTATCCTTCAAGGCCCTGGAGGTGGAAGGCGAAGACTTCTCCAAGTGCTTATCCAACGCATCGTTGATTCGCTTCCGATCCAGCGGCCCCTCCGCGATGTCCGTCCTCAACGACGCTCCTCCACCTCCTCTGTACATTTCCTTCCCTGTACAACCCTATATATATTCCTATCTGTCTGTATGTATTGTATGTATGGGTGGGAAATCAGAGGAGAAGTGAAAACCTTGGAATCACAAGTATGGAGAGGCTGCGAAAATTGATATCTGTAGAGAAAGGAAGGGAAACAGAGTGCGAGCACAGACTGTCTGAGGAAGACAGGGAGTGAGAGAGACGATGATATCTAGGGTTTCTTCGTCTACAGAGAGAGAGAGAGAGAGAGAGAGAGAGCCTCCTATAGTCCTATGCTCCTGTAAGGTTCTCTTCTCCCCCCTGTTTCTTGTTTTCTTATTCTTCAGTTTTTTTTTTCAAGGAAAATGACATTTTGATCCTCCAATTATGGAATATAGAATATATATATTTTTGAAAAATGATATGTTAACCCCGTAATTATATAATGATGATATACTCTGTACTATTTAATACTGTTGCAAAAATCGGCCTAGACGGGCGCCCCTAGGCTGCCGTCTAGGTGACCGATCGCTTAGGCGCCCAACTTAGCTAAGTCCATTTTGCTAATTTATTTAAATGATATATATATATATATATATATATATATATATATATATATATATATACCCATACACGTGCATTGCTTTTCTTTTTATAATTAGTTGTCTAGACGACGCTAAGCGCAACTCTTTTTATAATTAGTTGTCTAGACGACGCTAAGCGCAACTCTACCGCATGACTAGCGCCTATTGCAACCATGTTTTTTAATATAATATAAAATAATTTACACTAAAAACTATTTAAATGTAAAAGTGTCACGCCAATAATAAGAATAATGGCGTAATTCCTTTTTTCTTATGGAGTTTATAAAATAGGCATCCATAGTATTGATTTGCACTCAATTTCTCCTCAACAATGCATCTATAGTCTCCATTAAATATAATTGATTTAATCCTTCAATTTTCCATTCCCAATCCACCATGTATGAACACAAAGTATCAAGTCATAGTTGATCTTCAAAATTGTCAAAGGGACGATAAGCACAATAATTTCTGAATTCGAAAAACCTTATAAGTCCTAATTTCTGAATTCGAAAAACCTTATAAGTCCTCCAATCGTACAGGATCCTCTTGTAATCTATCAGAAGGGAGGATGCCCCATATGCCAAGCCCAAGTGATTGATTTATTGTTACAAATGATTAATTGTTAACATCACTATATATTACTCCTTAACGACACATCTAAGAAATTAAAGATTAAATTATGTTGAAACATTGATTCAATATACCACAAATGTGGCCATAATTCAATGCCCAAAAGAGTGAACATACTATTCTACTTATCTGTTTTTTTGGGTGCACACTGTTCATCCTACCAGATTTGATATACAAGAAGTCAAGAACCATTATATGCACCTGACACAATTGCGAGACTTAAGAAAGAAACTTGTCTGCTTTGATGTCATTATTGTCCTCAGAGCATCACATGTATCCACAATAGTGTTTGCAAAAAAAAAGTCTTTCTCCCTATTGGATCCAAAGTTCTTTTTTCTTTTTTTTTGAAGAAGAAAAGATCCAAAGTTCTATTCATCGTGAATTTACCTGGCTTGGAATTTAGAAAGAGGGAATAATGGTAGTACACTTGAGGATAAAGATATTAGGAGAAGAATTATGCATTAAGGAATAATCCCATCAATATGCATTAAGGCAAGAAGCAAGTTACCTAAAAGACAAAATTACTAATCACGTGTACCACAATGTTCAACATCTATAGGTAAATGCAATAATACAGCTTATCAACATCCACATTACTCTAGAGTTATACTGAGAATACGTTATTAGCCTCTGTAATTCGAGCCAAACTGCCTTTAAAGAAAGGGAGGTTTCAGCAATCTATATGAAATACACTGGGGCATTGAGTAATTGGAATACCAAACACTCCTTTAATCAATATCAAAACAGAGTTTTCATGAGAAGAAAGAACGACTTCTATTACGCTCCAGCCGAGCTTCTCTCTGTCACAACCACCAGAAGCCAAAAAGGGGGGAAAAATCAGATATACCACACAAATGACACAATTCTAAATATAATTACATAAATAGCCAAAGACCACATTTTATACAGTTGGTTAGTCTAGATATATGTGCAGAAGAATTGATTCCACAAAAAGTCTGGTTCCAGTTGGGCAATGATCCTACTCATATCCTAGATGAGTTCCCAAGCATCATAAAAGAAACAAAACGCCATCAATGCAACTTTTCTTTTCCACATACAAAGATGAAGAAAAGAACAAGAGGAAATATAAATGAGAGGACTTTCCAGAGCACTAGTACCTATTAGATTAAAGAAAATAGACATCATTAACAGGTGGAAGGAGTTTGCAGATAGTAACAATACCTCCTTTTTCTTGCATTCCTTGTAATTGTCAAAATGTTCCTGGCATTTACTCTTGTCCGTGTGAAATTCTTCTAAACCTGAAAAGTGCACATAGTATAGATGGGGTAAAGCAAAGGTACTATTCCTCAAATACTGGCACATGAAAAAAAAAATCTCATTGGATAATTTATAAACTACTTATGACTGTCCATGGACTCGGAGTGAACTCTAAGCCCATTAGTCAGAACCTCTCTTTCAGATATTAACCTGCTTTCTTCTGGCTGGAAGTACCCCACAGAACCTACATGCTTACTGCCAACTGGGTGTAGTAGAAGTGGCATTTTCTTTTAGATAGGTAAAAAATGTACAGCACACAAGTTTCTTTTGTTCGAAAATATGATCCCCAGACATTTGTTTTATTTTTGGATGGCACGTCATGGTAGATAACTATCAGTGGATAAACGGGAAACTGAGAATTGTGTTATACATTAGATTGTGAAAACTTAGCAATTAGGAGCATCTGTTTAACTGTTCTTCAACTTTTGCTATCGTAGCAAGCTGTACTTTCATGTTCTTCACCTATACAACCTTCCTAGAAGAGTACCCGATAAACTCAAGCACCACCATTGGCTTCAAATACTTGGTAGCTGATAAACCAGCAACATGAATTGGGAACTTCGTTCTACTGATCAAAGCTAAAAAGCAATCCTATAGTGTTTTCTCGTGCTTCAGAGCTTGGTCTATTGATCTTAAGACTTACTCATATGTTATAATAATAAACCCTAAACCCTAAAAACATAGGTGATCACAGAAACCAACGAAGGATGGGATTAGACACCGAATTATAGAGCTTCCTTAACAATATTGGGATGAAAATACTCATAATCAAGTATACAGATAAGCATACATATAAATTAACGAACATGTATATTTAGGGATCAATTAAAGAGATAAGATACAAACAAAAAAACAAAAAAAAAAAAAACAAAACAAAAAACAAAAAACAAAAAAACAAAAAAAAAAAAAACAAAAAAAAAAAAACAGGAGAAGCGCTAGTGTTGTTTACATTTTAGTGAGGCAGTGTATTGAGGATAGCAGTCGGAATCTGCGAGCTTCGCCGCACTTGGATAAGGCGGTGCCTGATACTTCGAAGACTCCATCGCCACTTCCTTTCTCTCTCTTCTGCTGGTTCGCGGAATTGATTTATTTATAAGTCGCGACTTGACCCGATTTCAACGAATGCAATGGTCTGGTCTGGGAGAATGGGCTTGTACACCGGCCCAATTCATCAGTGATGCATATTTATTATTATTATTATTATTAAGTATCATCATTTTGGACTTTATAATACTTATTCCATTTCAATTATATTTCTAGGTATACCAAATATTGGAATCGGGTAATTATATTTCTGCAAACTAAAAACTGAAATTTAATTTGCCACATTATTCATCTTTCATGAAATTGCATTTCTTTTCTCACATAATTTCCTCCCTCCAACCAAACGCCCCGTCAACCGTTGGAAATTCAGTTATCCCTCGATTACCATCTAAATTGTCCAATAATGTCCATCTTTAATGTAGTTTACAAATTTATATTTATATAGAGTTTATATATGAATAGTAAATTTAATATTTTGAAAAAAAGTAAATATTGTTAAATGAATTGAATAAGAAGCACAAAATAAAATGGCCAACGAGAACGTTTTTATTACCCTTATCATTTTAAATCGATTCACTATAAGTAACTTAGTCGAATTTATTTTAATTTGTTAGTACATATTCTTAAATAGTGATTGGAGATTTGGAGATTTCCAGCTGCTACTCAAAAACCCATAAAAGGAAACCAATATTAAAGATGTATTTCATGATTTATGAAAAACCCAAACTCCATAATTTTTAACAACAAAAGCCCCAAAACTACTAACAAACCCCAAGAGTTATTCGTGTCTATGTATATATATCTATCTTTGATCCAAGCACCTCAATTGATGAGATTCAAACAGGGAAGGTAGATCATGACAGCAATCAAAACGGATCGTCATCTTCACGCCAAGAAATATTCCTTCAGCTCACTCGCGATGCTCTCTTTCTTCTTAGCTGCATTAATCTGTCTCTGCACATTCACTCCCTTCTTCTCCGTCTCCTTCCTCACGCAACAGCACTTCATTCCGCCGGTAATTTCACCAATTCCTTCCTCCATTCATCGTTTCCGTTCGAGTTTGCGCGAAATTCTGATCGGATTTGGGCGTTATGCGTGCGTGTGTAGGTGACGGAGAGAGACTACCTGGAAGAGGCGCTGGAGAGGGCGTCATCGGCGAGGAGCAAAACGGTGATCATAACGATAATCAACAAGGCGTACGTGGAGCCGGTGAACGAACATAATCCGTCGATGCTGGATCTCTTCCTCGAGGGATTCTGGGAGGGAGAGGAGACGCGGCCGCTCGTGAACCGGTTGCTGGTGGTCGCCATGGACCGGACCGCCTACCAGCGCTGCGTTTTCCGGCGGCTGCACTGCTACCGCCTGAGGACTAACGGCGTCGATTATGCCTCCGAGAAGATTTACTTGTCCAAGGGTTTTGTGAGTATGATGTGGCGGAGAACTCTCTTCCTAACGGATGTTCTTAAACGGGGTTACAACTTCATCTTCACCGTACGTAATTCTTCTTTTTTTCCCCCATTTTTTTCTCCATTTTCTCAAGATTTAAACGCGTTTTAAGCACAATTTACTTTTTAAAAATAGAAATTCAAGATTAACGATAATAAGATGTATGAAGAATGAATCTATAAACCCACCCAAATATAGTCATATATTTTTTTGGTCCTGCAAAGTTTTTATAGAAGACACATTTAAACCCGTATCATACTCAACTAATCCTGTTAGTACAGAGCAACTCAATTAAGGGGCAAAAGTATCAGCCAGACTGGTTACTAATCCTGTTTGCACAGAGCTCAATTAAGGGGCAAAAGTACTGACTAGACTGGTTTTTTTTAGAAGTTCAAACTCACCTTTGACAAGAGTGCACGGCTACTCACCTCAACCAATCTGGTTAATTATATAGTGTTATTCATAGCCATGCACTAATACATAACATAAACGTTTAATTTATATCTCACAATCCCTCATCACATGTACATTGCATGCATGAGCTACCCAAAATCATATCAAGATTTTAAAACCCAATTAATTAAAGTTTGTGCGGTAGGACACGGACATAATGTGGCTAAGGAACCCATTCCGGCGGCTGAGCCACAACGTTTCGGAGGACATGCAAATAAGCACCGACCAGTTCAACGGCGACCCCTGGTCGGCATGGAATCCGATCAACACCGGCTTCTACTACGTCCGATCAAACAACAGAACCATCGCGCTGTTCGAAACGTGGTACAGCTCGCGGAAGATCTACCCGAGCCGGATGAAGGAGCAGGACGTGCTGGCGAAGATGAAAAGGCAAGGCACGCTGGAGGAGCTGGGCCTGGTGGTCCGGTGCCTGGACGTTCTCTACTTCAGCGGCTTTTGCAGCGACAGCAGGGACGTCACGGCGGTCGCCACCGTCCACGCCAACTGCTGTAAGACCATCCGGGCCAAAGTGGCCGATCTGCGGAACGTCCTCAGAGATTGGAGGAGTTACAGGTCGTCGGCGCCGTATTCTAGTCGAGAAGAACTCGTGGAGAATTTCGAGTGGTCGGACCATGTTTCCTGTAAAAATTCCTGGACGGTGCCTAACACGACGGCGGCGGTGCAAGGGCCGCCGGCGAGTTCGTTTCAGGACTACTAGACTACGTACGAGCTGAGGTCGATCGGTTGGACTTAGCTTGATTAGGTACCAAGTTATATTAGCAGTATACCACGATGTTTAAATTAAATGCTTAATTATGTAGCCAGTTGAGTCTAATGTGACGTTGTTTTAGAGTATTGCACATAATATAAGCGTACATATACTTTTATGGCAAGATATATATTACCCAAATTAACCATTTGATTATCTCATAATCTTTTTGAGTACTATTGACTATGTGTAAAGTATAATATATGTGTTAAACATAAAATACAAATGTGCAATACAACTATCAGCTTAAACTTTTAGTTGAGATGATCCACTTGTTGTTTGGAGCCCATCAAAAAATATCGCTTGTTCACTATATCGCGCAGGTTGTTGTTTTGATTTTTTGTTCATATTAGTGTTTTGGATGTCATTATATTATGATTAATTGTTTTAACTTTTTTATTTTTTTATTTTAAAAATATTTATTCTTATTATAGGGTTATGCATAACCAAACATCAATATCAGTAATTATTCTAATTTCATCATATTACGTATACTTTCACCAAAACGCATTATCATTACTAAGTATATTTAATTTCCATTATGATTCCAATCAAGGCCATGGCCAGGGCCACGCAGGGGCCCAAATATTACATACGTAGTATATATGTGCAGTGTGCCCCCAAATTGTGGGGCACTTTTATTAAAAAAAAAAATATTTTATATTTATATTTTATATATTGGTGTATGTGTACTTTATGTATAAAGAAATCAAGGCACTTTAAAATTCTAAAATGTTTATATTCATAATTCTTAAGGACTTGATTTATGTATAAAGTTATAGTCTCATAACTTATAGGAATTGAGGTGGGCCTATTTGATTATTGTAAAAATTATTATATATAAAGAGTAAAAAATCACTCTTATTCTTATTATATAATGCATACACGCGAGATATGTATTCACAACACAATAATTCGGTCTTAGTAATCATTAATTTGAAGTGCGTTGTTTGTGCATTTGGTATCCTCAATTTTTTTTTATTCTTCACGATAAAAGGATGAAGGTATGTAAATAATTAAATATTTTAATTCTTTAATTCTATTCAAATTTTAAAATTATTAGTTCAATAACTAACCTTAGCTAGGAATTTTTTGATTGGTGAATAACAATCTAATTTCTTGTATTTTGATACTACAATTGCAATATCAATTAGTCTTAACTATTTGCATTACTGTTGTTTATGCATAAAGAAGTTTTGTAAAGTTAAAGTTGTTGAAATCTTACGTATGATCAACTATATTGTAAAAAAAAAAAAAAAAAAAAAAAAAAAAAAACTCAATGGATTGATGAATAATTTTACATCTAAACATGACCGAAGAAAAAGAAGAATGTCACTTTTCAAGTGAAATTTTGAATAATAAATTTGTTATAAACTATTATATATTTTGGTACATACAATACAATATATCTTATATATATATTTACAATTATACAAAAAGAGGGTTAATGTTAATTTTCGTACAGGACCCTAATTTTCTTAAAAACGACCCTGATTCCAATTCTCATGTGCGAACCAAACATATCTTAAATTTTTAATCAAAAGTTACCAATCAATTACATTGTAAATAATTAATTTTGGTTAGGCAACAAAAACCACAAATAAAGATACAATCATAATTATAAATAAATACCACAAATCATAAGTTTAATACTATAATGGATTAAGATACATCTTAGTATAAAGAAGTATAAAATATAAAATAGAGGAAATTTTAATTTTGGTCATATGACTATAGGGATCTTGTTAATTTTAGTCATTGACTTTCAAAAGTGTTAATTTAGTATCTTAACTATTCAATTTTTGTCAATTTTGGTCAATTCGGCCAAATTTAGCCGGAAAATTTTAATAATTAAAATAATAAGGATATTTTGGTCATTTCACGCCTCTTTTCTTCTTCTCTGGCGAGTCCATCCATTTCTCTCCCGTTTCCGACATTCTTTCTCCCTGTAAACCCTATCTTTAATATCATCAAGCCTCATTTCCCCATCACCTTAGTTCATTTCATTTGTCAGGAACGGGAGAGGAAGGGATAGACTCGCTTGGGAAGAAGAAAAGAGACGTGAAATGATCAAAATACCCTCATTATTTTAACAATTAAAATTTTATGGCAAAATTTGGCCGGTAGTTTGGTCGGAATGACCAAAATTGACAAAAATTACATAGTTAAGGTACTAAATTGACACTTTTAAAAGTCATGGACTGAAATTAATAAGACCCCTATAGTCATATGACCAAAATTGAAATTTCCTCATATAAAATATATAAACTAAAAGTAAGTGTAGTCAATAAGACTCGGCTCATAAGTCCCTAAACACAACTATATACACACACATTCTAATCGTTTGTGTAATGGTTGTACAAACAGCGAGTGACGAGGAAAATTCACAGTCCGCCTAGTAACCTTAATAGACAATGGACTACTAGGTAAACTGCACTTTGTGATCTTAGCGGTAAAGGATCACAATGAGATAAATCACATTAGATTACCAGCTCAATGCAAGAATACAACATATCGCTTCCACTTAAAGCAAAACATGATAATTTGTGACTACAAAATTAATAGTCCGACTAATTTATTGTAATTGTCACAATATTGTTTATCATAACATACACAACTAATGAGATTTTATACTATCAGTGAAGCCTCCTGAATTAGTCGAATAACATATTGTTCTGCATCTGAATCTTCTTGTTCTGTCTCTGCAGCAGAAAGAAACTCCTTTTAAAATACAAGCTAACCACATTATTATACTCATTCCCATATATATATCTAATAATGCATGCAATTCATTTAATTTGACTGACACTATTAGAATTATAATTATGATTATTGTATTTGAGTCATAATATGACTCCCTATCATAATCTTCATATAATTCCTCTTGTATATATTCTCCTCACATATACATTATAAAACACAGTTCACATAATACAGTTTCCTTTAGTTTTCATCTACACTACTTATCGAACCTGATGAAATTTCATCTAGGATTTATAAATTGAAATTTCATCTAGGATTTCTAAATTGAAATTTCATAAAGGTATGGGTTTGTTTTATAAACATCCCTAAAACTCAGGGACATGCATTAAATATACACAAAGACTTTGACTCCCGGGAGTCGCCGTTTTACACGTGCCAAGTGTTATAGCTGGTAAAATACGCGCCCCCAAAAGCTTCCGTCTCCTAGTACAGGTGCTCAAAACTTTTCCCTCAGCCTATAGAAATCGATCTAGGGTTTCCAACTTTTTTCCTTAATTGCGCGCCGGAGCTTCGTCCCAATTTCTTCATTCCACTAAGTCGGGTGTATATACACGCTTCTACTTCACCTAAGATATTCAGAATTCCGTTTTCGCGATTCAGTTTTTTTAATTGGGTTTTCGGTTTCCTGTAATCTCGAATTTTCTCTGAAGAACAGCTATGCCTCCGAGAAGGAAGACGTCAGGTGGCCCGGGTACGAAGAGAGGGGTTCGTGTCACGCGGGCCGCGTCCAAAGTCCAGCCGCATCCCCCCGATGAAGCGTTGAAGGTGGAGCAGGTGAAAGAGGAGGCGGAGGAGAAGGCCATGGAGGAGCTCAGAGAGGAGGTCAAGCTCGAGGAAAAGGCTCCCGTTGCTGAGCAGAAGTCGACGCCTGCTAGGGTTAAAGAGGAGCCGGATTCGAGACGTGTGGAGTGCGGATCTCTTGCTTATAAGAGTAAGTGATGTTTTTGTAAAATTTAATTTTGTGAATTCTTGCTATAGATCTCTTTATAGTGTTTCCTGCGTTCAAATTTACTTGTGTGGTTACATGAGGTAGTTTAGCTATTCGTCTCAATAGTATCGAATTAATCTGGTGAATGGTCGTTTTTTTTTTTTTTTTTCCATAATATTAATTAGATAAAAGATAGAATTTTGCCACTCTGTATGTTCTCTGGTATGGGTGTGTATAGCTTTTCATAGTGGGATACCGGATACAGAGTAGCATTTTTTAGGTCAAGTATTTTCCAAGGTGGCTTGTTTAGTCTGCACTAGCCATTTTCAGTCTTGGGGAAAGTCTAGGACTATAGGAACATGGGTTCAAGTTCTATTAAATGATAACTTCAAGGAGGAAAGAGGACATGTGCTGCCACACGGCCCACACTGGCAGCTACTTTCCTTTTGAAAGTGTTTTTATATGCTTTAGTCCTACCTCTAAACGATTTACCTTAGTTGCAGTTTTTGAAACTCATTTGATTATGTATATAAATAAATAAATAAAAATTGAGGCGCTTAGGCTGGAAACTATCTTGTCAGTTGGTGATTGAAATCTTATATTCCAATCTGTTGATGGTCCTGGATGTGTATCTTTTTTCATGGCAGAAGAATATGAACAGAAAGAGTCTGTTGATGAATATGAAAAAGGTGAAAGATTAGATTTGGAGGATAATGATCCTGAATACGAAACCGAAGAGTATGGTGGCCCTGATTATGATGATAAGGGAATTGAACATGAGGATGTGCAGGAAGAGGGAGAAGAGATAGAAGAACATGAGGAGGAATATATTGGTGATGAGGGAGAAGGTGATATGGTTGAGGAGGAGGTTGAAGATGTCAATGAGGACCTTGAGGGTGAAGAGGATGATGAGCAAGTTGGCGAGGAGCATGGTCAGATGGTTGATGACGCTGAGGAGGACGAGCATCATGAAGTTGTTAAAGAAAGACGCAAGCGCAAGGAGTTTGAAATTTTTATTGGTGGCTTGGACAAGGATGCTACAGAGGATGATCTTAGGAAAGTCTTCAGTAAAGTTGGTGATGTTACTGAAGTGAGGCTTATGATGAACCCTCAGACCAAGAAGAATAAGGGATTTGCTTTTCTAAGATTTGCAACAGTTGAACAAGCTAAGCGAGCTTGTACAGAACTCAAAAATCCTGTGGTATTTTCTTGATTCAGTAGTTCTTAAGGTAACTGATTTGAAATTTTTATAAAGAATATCATTCTTACAGTCAAAGTTCCAGGTTAATGGAAAACAGTGCGGTGTTACTCCAAGTCAGGACAGTGATACTCTCTTTTTGGGTAACATATGCAAGACATGGACTGAGGAAGCTGTAAGTAGACTAGGCAGATTAATATTATCATCAAGCATCAAGTTATTAGATCATTTAAACCATTGCTTAACAGCTGTCACTTTGATATTCACTTTGCCTCCAGTTGAAGGAGAAGCTGAAGCACTATGGTGTTGATAATATTTATGATTTGACACTAGTTGAAGACACCAACAATGTGGGAATGAACCGAGGCTTTGCATTCTTGGAATTCTCCTCTCGTTCAGATGCTATGGATGCTTTTAAGCGTCTCCAGAAGAGAGATGTTGTTTTTGGAGTTGACAGGCCTGCCAAGGTTTCGTTTGCAGATTCATTTATTGACCCAGGTGATGAAATCATGGCGCAGGTAAACACTTTCAGTCCATGTTCTCTGAACGCATATATAGGTGAAGTTGTTCCATTTCTATTTGGAACGTCTTTCATGCGCATGAATTTATGCCTTGCATATTTGAAGTGACTTGACTCTTTGGATTTGATTTGTCTGAGTACTGTCCTGTTTTACTTTAGACAAGATCATGCTTTTGCCCAGCTCTGGTACGTGTGATATGGAGCTGCTAATAAAGGAAATGTTTTGTGTGGGGGCATATAAAGATCAAGCTTCCAAAAATACTTAGAAATTAGTAGAATGAATATTGGCAATATACTGACCGTAGTGTCTAGGCAAGATTTGTTTTTAAAATAAAAATAAAAATTATTTGGTAGCTTGCGTTCTATAATTCAGTCTTATGTGCTGGGATTGTATTTCTGCTCTCTCAGTCTCTCTAACTGACTGCTGAATATTAATTCAGGTCAAAACAGTCTTTATAGATGGTCTTTCAGCCTATTGGGATGAGGCTCGTATTAATGAACTACTAAAAAAATATGGGAAGATTGAAAAAATTGAGCTTGCTCGGAACATGCCATCCGCCAAGAGAAAGGATTTTGGATTTGTCACATTTGATTCACATGATGCTGCAGTCTCTTGTGCCAAATGCATTAATAATGCAGTGCTAGGCGATGGGGATATTAAGGTTTATTTTCTGATTCCATGGTTTATCTAGTCTTTGTCTCTTCTAAGTTGATTTCTTAAAGGGTTTTTTTTTTTTTGAATCTTTCAGGTTAAAGTTAGGGCTAGATTATCAAGACCCCTTTCAAGGGGCAGGGGAAAATATGGTTCACGAGGAGATGTGAGACCCGGCCGTGGGCCAGTACGAGCTCCCAGGGCCCCATGGGGTCGTCCAGTGTCACATAATCTCTCCGTACGTGGAACAAGAGTTGGTACACGTGTGCCACCTTTGGTTGATCGCAATTTTAAACGGCCTGCTGGTTATAGAGATAGAAGGCCAGTCATTGCACCACCACCTAGGGCCAGACCTGTGGCTCCTGTGCCTAGCAGGTCATATGAGAGGAGGCCGCCTGGTTGGTATCATTTCTCTGTTGTTTTTACTAGCTTTTCCTGCACCTTTGCATGAATATTAATGATTTATCTTACAGCTCCTGCATATTCAAGAAATAGTTCGAAGAGGGATTATGGAAGCAGAGCTGCTATAGACTATGCTCCCAGAGTGCCTTCTGACAGACGAACATCCTATAGAGATGAGTATTCTTCCCATGGATCTGGCTATCCTGATTTTCCTGGAGGAACATCTAGGACTGCAGTAAGAAGAGCTTATGTTGATGATGGCTATGAGCAGAGGTTTGAAAGACCCCCTCCAGTGTACCGTGAAAGCCGTGCTCGTGAATATGACTCTATATCTGGCTCAAAACGTGCATACACTGCACTGGTATGTGATTATGATTTGTGGGATGTATTAGTATGGTTTATCACATTTTTTTGTCTGATGTAAGTAACGGACTTAGCTTCTAATGGAAATGCAGGATGATGTTCCTCCTCAATATGTTGAGGCAGGAGTTCGCCGTTCTCGTGCACGTTTGGAGTATGACTTTGGAGGACGAAGTGCTTCTCAGTATGGGGATGCCTATGGTGACAGGTATAGTAATGTTACTCTAAAGCGATTAAGTGATAAGGCTTCGATTTCAAGTTTTAGTGATGTGCTGAATTGTCTCCTAACTAAATGATAGCAGACCCGGGAGGCCTAATCTTGGATATAGTAGCAGCAGAAGTTCTATGGCTAGTCAAGATTCTCATGGCCTTTATAGTAGTCGCCAGGGTATGGGTTATGACAGAGGTGTGTTGAGAACTAGCATGTTTTACTTGTACAGGATATCTATTTGATTTTTTTTTTTTTTTTTTAAATTTTTGTTTGTGTATCTGTTGTGTACTCCTTGGTTAATTGTGAATCCTTCTTTTGGCAGGCTCCTATGGTGGTAGTGATGTTGGTGGAGTGTACACTTCAGGCTATAGTGGTGATTACATATCTCATGGCAGTGATGTATGCTTTTAGTTCATTTACCCTCTTTCTAGCTTAATATATCTTTTGCTATTGACCTCTTGACCATGAATGTTCTGTCTATCTGCTAAAATCAGATGGGAGGCAGCTCTTATTCATCGATTTATTCTAATCGTGACCTGGGTGGTGGTGGCTATATGAGGAGTGGTGGTTCTAGATCTTATTATTGAGGTGAGTCATATTTTGTTTGTTTCTTTCTTGCCATTTGAAGTGCCTAGTTAGTAGAGGTAGTGGATTGCTAGTATGCTATCCTTGTCTTCTTCATCGCCAGCCCCTCCCCCCCAAGATGAACAGATAAGAAAATTAGGGTAACAATTAGCAAGGTGTGCTCCTCTGGGATGTGGTTCCTAGAAGTCATATGTTCTGTTTGTTCCTCACAAGGTCATTGAGGATGGAATGAGCAATTTGGTTACATGTCAATTTGTCTATCATACAGATTTGAATGGACAAAGAGGCTGCAGGACCTGCACTAGTTGAAGGCTGCATCATTTTGAATTGGAAGTATATTGAGCAAATAAAGCCTCTTTGTGGTTTGATGGCAAGATATGATAAACACTGGATATTGATATAAGGACGTGCAACTTGGAGGAACTTAGATCTAGTGTATTGAGCTTTGGATGTCTCATATTTTTCTGCTGTAAGGAAACTTAAGAATTGTAGTGATGTGACTGCTAACATTCTGGTATTTATAGTTAATTTTTCCTACTCTCTTCCTTTGGTAATTTGATGTAAGAGTGTACTTGAATAAAAAGAGGAGCACGGTTCAAGTGCTTGTTATCTTATTCACAGCTCAAGGCATGTGGATACATGGTCTTGTGGCTTCTGGAAAGGTTTGGATGATTGCTACATCCCATTTTACGCGATCTGTCTCAATGTTCTGTAATGGACTGCAAGAACAAGGCAATGAACTGAATGCAAAAAGTAGTTCTGGAAACGTGTTATGGTGATATAAGTCGTAAGACCAATTGATTATGCAAAGGGATCAAAATTGACAGACACAGGCTTCTGGAGGTGTGAGTTTATGGTCTCAATGAGAAATATGTTTTAAGTATATCTGGAGTTGAAGAGATATATATTGAAATTACTTCTTCTTTCAGTGTTATTCAATTGCTTTGGCTTTTTATGACCGTCTGGGTGTTTTTGCATGTTACATTCTAAGAAGCTAAGATGATAGGAAGAATGAGGTTGTAAATCTTGTTGGGATAAAGCTTCTTCCTCTGTAATGCAAGTTTGCCTAATATTCTCGTTCTGCTAGGAAATAAGGTTTTACCTAAATATATCTATGTTGCACTTGCATTTGAAGGAGATGAACACTACCGAGCTTGCAGATGCTCTTTCATGTGGTTTTTTAGGAAATGGCTTTTGCTGTGGGAAAAGTTGAGTTCCATGATATTTTTTCCCACATAGCATGATTTAAGTATTGTTCTTTTGTTGGTTGGCAGGACGGTGTCTTGTGAAATAATATTAGCATAACTAATGGTGATATTTTAGCAACAATTTAAAAGCTTAGTTGTAAATTATACCATCTGCCGTGATGAAGTCATTGGAGCAGAAATAATTAGGAGACAAATTTGGTTATGCTTTTACTAGGACTCCTGCAAATGTGTTTTCCCATTACTTGATGAGTTTTAGCTCGAGTTGAGTTTCTGAAGTTCAAAAAAATAAAATAAAATAAAAACCCTAAGGCTTGGAAGTTAGGTACACTACTTGTTATAATATGACTGTTTTGTTTTTCTTTAATGGGGTGTGGGGGTTAGGGTTGTGCTAGTTTCTTTTATAGTGCTGCCTGTATGGTGTCTTATCTATGGGTGCTTATTTTTTAGTATTCCTTTTTCTGAAATATTATATTTTCATAGAAAGTTAACAATGCCAATCAGTACCGGGTATAACCATGTATATTTTGCAGCTGTTCTAGTTACTATCCGGCTCTTGCCATACAATACTCGGTTCAATCCAAAAACATATATGGTTGTACCAGTACTTGGTTCAATCTAAAAGCATTACAATGCTAATGGTATAACCATGTATACTTTTGCAGTTGTACTAGGTACTATCTAGCTCGAGTCTTGTCCCATAGTACTTGGTTCAACCCAAAAGCATACATGGTTGTACCAGTACTTGGTTCAACCCCAAAGCATTACAATGCCAATCAGTATCGGGTATAATCATGTATACTTTTGCAGTTGTACTAGGTACTATCCAGCTCGTCCCAAAAGCATACATGGTTGTATTCGGTATTGATTGACACCTTAAACTTTCTTATATTTTTATCAAAGTTTTGTAAGTTTTTATCATTATATGTGTGCCTGCATCTCCATGTCTGCTGGGTTTTGTCAGATGAACTGTTTTTGTTCAGGAGTGAGGAGTACTAACTGATGTATGAACTGAAAATTTTGATTTTTTTTTTTTTTTTTTTTTGGTGATGAGGAAAACTCACAATCTTGTGTAATAGTATTCAAACTGCATTATGAAGATCTTGTGCGAAAGGCTTGACTAAAAGGGTATTGAGTAGAAATATCTTTTGGTTTCATCTGTAACATTTCTGCCATCTCCTGAAAACATTATGGGATGTTGTGTTTTACTGTATGAGAAGTGGGAATGTCATTTTGACTCTTAACGTCCAATTATGAATGCCTAGGAGTGCACCAAGTAAATGTGAATATAGACTCGAAATCTTATTAAAGAATAATGCTACTTGTATCAGATAATAATATTGTTCCATTGTCACAATTTTGTTTTAAACTACTTTTCACAATGAGATTATAACTTATGGATGGTCTTCCATGAAGTGATGAAGTTTATAACAAAAGTAAATTTATATTTTTACTAATATTTTTTAAAGAACAAGCAAAAATATAATATATAATATTGGTATAACAACTCTAGTTTACTTGTCCTTTAATCAAACTCTAACACGGCGTTTGGTTTTGGAGAGGAGAATTACGTGGGAAAAGAATTGCAATTTCATGGGAGATGAATTACTGAGAATAAAGTGAGAATTTAAATTTCAGTGTTTGGTTTATAGGAATAGAATTTGGGGATAATTTTTTATATAGATGTCATATAAAGGTACAAAATAATGTCATCTCTTAGTTGTGGTGCTTTAATTTTTATATAGATGTGATGATTTATTACCCATCAAAATGTCATGGAGTTATGTTAATCAAGAGAAAAGATACCAAGCTTGTCCATGTTATAGAGCACATTTTTGTATTTGTCAAAAAATTGTTAATTTAACTTGTTTTTTTTTTTTAAAAAATATAATTGAAATATTGAAATTTGATCTTTTAGAAAAACGAGAGTATGATTTATTCGTTGTTAAGTAACTTATGGCTTTTGTTGATTTGGGGAGAGTATTTTGGATAAATTTACAAGTTTTATTAAAAAATTTGTTTCTTTACCCTTGTAATTAATTTTATCAACACAACACTAGCGTCAGGAACCAAACTCGCCACTTCTTAAGGACTAAAAATAGATACACTAATAACGCATGAACTGAATCAATAGATGCGGTAATAATGCATGGACTGAATCGTCACTACGATTAGATTCGCTACTTTTCCAAAATAAAAATCAGAACCCAAAGACAAGAGAAGCAAGAGGACCAAGATCCTGAATGGCCCGGCCCGGCCCGAATTAACCGGGCCCGACGTAGTATATAGATCGGAGCCCGGGAATGAACGCGGTCTGTGAACTGAGGTGCATAGAGAATGAGGGTGGGGAGAGCGATGGGGATTTCCAGGGTGGTTGACCGTCTTCCCATGCCGATGATTTCTAATTCCAAAACTCAACAACCCTTCTTGGCTGTGAAACAATGAAACCATTTCATCTTCTTCTTCTTCTTCTTCATCTCTGCTTCTTGATTTATCATTTTCATGCCAAGAAAAAACGTTCTTGTGAACTTCAACCTCTGGGATCTGAAGTGGAATTAACTCTATAGTTCTGTATATGCTGCTTCATATAATTATTGTTCTGTTGTTATTGTTGTTGATGTTGATGGTGATGATGTTTGTGTAGGCTGTGATGATAAACGGATTTTTGTTCAGTTCACCGGGTGGGGGAATGATCCGCCCCGTATCTTGGCGGGGCGACCGGTAGGTCTGCAGCCATGGCGGTGCGGCTTCTCCTCCGCCCTATTTCACAGATCTGAGCCTCGTTTTTGTTGACAACTAAACCCTAAACCCTAAACGAGAAAGGTATGATCAAAGTACACTGTGTGGACTTGTGTTGCGCGGATCTCTTTAATCGGATCATGTTTCAGTTTCCTGTTAAACTGAACCGGAAAATTAAGATCTGAAAACTAAAGAATGAGGGTATAGAGAGATTTATGGGTTTCTATGGGTGGTTGCCCCTCTCTATTACTCAATGATTTCGTTACATTTTCTGCTCATTCAACAGCCCAAACAACAAGAAATGAATGAATAAATAAAGGTGTTTATTTCATGCATGCATTCATAATCCATCTTTTTCCCCTGTTAATTATTACGGAGTATATTTTGCTACAAATAAGTTGCAGTGATGAAACGTTGTTGGTTATCATGCTTCTATTGGCTGTGATGATAATATGTTTGAGTTGATTGGGTAAGGAAGGACGAAGCCGTATCTTGGTGGGGCAACCATTGGTTTGCAGCCATGGCGGTGTCGTTCCCTTGCTTGATCACATTTTGTTTCTGAGCCATTGCTTGATTGTGTTGCATTTCTGGGCTATTGTCTGTAACTCTGTATTGCATCACTGAGAGCAACACTTGGTTGAAACTGTGAGGTTCTTCAACTAAGCTTGTTAATCTTTTCTCTATGATTCAATTTGTTGATTAGCTGCAGATTGAGACATGGTTGAACTGTGATGTCTCATTACTCTCATTGTCAACAATCACAGTTGTTTTCAAACTAATGTGCGAGGTATGTTGATTAGTTTGAGATGATTCTTGAATCACTCAAAAACCAACAGTACAGCCCATGCTCATAGCTTATGAGGAAGGCTATGGATTCTTTCCACTTCATTGCTATGAATGAGGTTTGCAGTCTATCATTTCACCATTCTTGTCTTCGTTATCCTGCATTCCTGCCATTCTGTCAAATTTGAAGTGATGGTTCTGCTTAAAGCCCCAGTTTCAAGTCATGCAATGATCACATATAAATGTCAGTCTTTTTTCTTTGATAGTAGCATGATTGTTGTTGTTTTTTTCATACTTTTTGCCCGTAACACCCAATATTACCCTGCAGTGAGATTTGACTCAGGGTATGCCACAAAAGTTTGATTCGCTTATTAATGGAAGGCTTAGTCCATAGCTTTCTTTAACATGGTGGTCGGTCTTCGGACCTTGCAATTACATTAGTAACAGTAACTTGGTTCTTCCCATCCCTAATCTTGTAATTAGACTGCAGTCCTAAAGATTTTGACAGAATATCTTTGAAGAAGTATGCCATGTTCTAGGGCAAATGCTAGCATCCAGCATTCAAGAGAATACAGAGATGATCAACACTCCAATACTTCAGAGAGCTTCACCCCTTTGCAGCGGAACCTAAAGTGGGCATATCCCACACTGGCCTTGTCTGAGTCATTGAGTCACCGTGATCTTTCCAAATGGGCCGAGGTGTGGAGGGTGCTTTCGGTTGGGGATTCAACTTTTGGGAGAAGAGAGCTTCACCCCTTGCTCACCTTGGGCAGTGGATGTGAGTTTTCTGTAAATCAAGGGGATGAGATATGAGTGTCACTTCAACACAATATAGGGATGGGTCTTGGATTTTAATCACTACCCGTTTATTTTATATGAAAAATGTTATGTATTATGAACTATACTTGTTTGATAAACTTAATTTGAAATGTGTTTGTAGCATCTCTTTCTTAATTAGATAATAATAATACTCATTTTGTTTTATTATTACGGAGTATTATTTTTAAAGTATTACTGATTCTATTACCACGCATTATCTCTCATTTTACATTTTATTTTGTGTTTAGTCGGTTTAACTGTTTAATGTTAATATATAAAATTTATATATTTAAAAATTGACTTAACTAATAAATAAAAAAAAATATGATAATAAGGTATTAAAAGTGTAATTTTTTAAATTAATCTTTTTCATGCCCGTCTTAAGTATTATTATTTGACTATTTTAACCTTCCAGACTCGAACATTTGCTAGCTAGACACATGGGCCGGCCCAGCACAACATCGCTGGCCCTCATTGTACAGTAAATTCCTCGACATATTATATCGTGCATCCCAGGGCGCACAATGCATTGCGATTGCGCCGTGGTGCAGGATATAACGATTGATATTAAGGAGCCCTGCATGGGTGATAATCTCCTTGGATGAATGTAGAAAGAATGAGGTTGCGGAGATTTGCCGGGATTTCTCAGGGTGGTTGACCGTCTCTGCATGCCGATGATTTCATCTTTCATCAACAATCAACAGCCCTAATTGTCGGTTAACGTTTCTGATGAATCATTGCCCAGAATGGTGCGGGCTAATGGCCGCCCTTCTGGGTCTGCTGGTTTCTGTGTATTCAATGAATCATCATCATCATCATACATTCACCATTCATCAACTGCAACGCTATGAACCTTTTATGGCTTATCTTATGGGTAGCCATTCTTGATCTGCTTGAACCTTCAGATCTTCGGTTGCCTGTTCAGATCTTCGGTGTTATTATTATTATTATTATTATTATTATTATTATTATTATTATTATTATTATTATTGGTTATGTAGGCTGTGATGATGATGATATTTCTACAGTTCATCGGGTATGGAGGGATCCGACCCGTATCTTGGCGGGGCGACCTCTAGGTCTGCAGCCATGGCGGTATGGCTTCTCCATTACCAAATCTGAGCCTAATTTCTGTTGGCAAGTGATTTGCCTAAAGAGTTAATTGCATTTTGGTCCCTTGACTATTAGATTGTAGCCACAATCTGCTCATATGGTAAAGCTTATTAATCAGATTTCGTCTGATCCCTGTTACCGCACAAGAATGAGGGTGTAGAGAGATTTGGGTGTTTCTATGGCGGTTGCCCCTCTCTATGCTTCAGTGATTCCTTTAGGTTTTGTCCACATGCAACAGCCAAATATTTCATTACAACAACAAACAACATATATATATCATTCATCATTCTGTTTCTTAATACTGGGTAAATAATTTACTGCATTTTAGCTGCAATGAGAACATACAAAACAAAACAAAAACATTGTTGGTTCCGGTTGATATGTAGGCAGTGATGACAAATATCTTGATCTGATTGAATAAGGAAGAAGTGAGCCGTATCTTGGCGGGGCAACTGGAATTTTGCAGCCATGGCGGTGTTGCTATCCTTGCTTGATCATATTGCTTGTCTGAGCCTGTTATCTATCTATCTATGTATCTATATCTGTCTGTCTGTCCATCTATCCAATGCTCATATTATTCCTTGAAAGTCCAGTGAGTTTCCATTCACGGTTGAAATGATGTGTAGGGGCATTTATGTTGTTAACAGCCACAGTATTTTTGCCACAATTGTGCAGGCTATGATGATTTGTATATTCACCCTCTTGTATATGTTAGTCTTGGAAGCAACTGACCCTTACCTTTGGCAAGGCATACTTATATAGCCTATGAAAGGGACTGATTTTCTCTTTCCTCTGCATAGCTATTGAGATTGCAGCCAATGTTGTATCTGTCTGTTCTTATTTTATTATACATCTGAGCTTGTTCTCACTCACCGTGCACATTCTTGAAGATCAAGTTTTTTTTTTTTTTTTTTTTTTGGCATACAGCATCCGGTATTCACCAGTCTGAGATTAATCTGAATTCAGCCTAAGTTGCTATTACAGTGTATGATTCTTACTCAGCGGAAAGTTTGGCCAAGAGCTCTTTAACATGACACACCCCTACAAGAGTCGAAACTTTGACGTTGCATAGTTGTCTACTTACCAACTATCCCAAATAGTTAACAATGACGGTAGGGGTGCAAGAGAGATGGCCATGAGGTTTGCAGGCATTTTGGTTTTCTCTGGGTATAACCTGTTGCTTAACTTTCTCTGTAGATTTATTTTCTTTAAGTGTCACTCTCGAAACCTCAGGTTGGACTAATGCTTTGGTTTGCTTATCTTTTTGTGGCTGTTTTTATTTTGTTCCGTAAAGCTCATCTTGTAGATGGTATTTCTTATTGTAAGTCTGTAAGATTACCTTATCTGGTAAGTCAATTATCTTACCTTTCATTATCCCACTAAACTGCTTAACCGCTGCAATGCTATTTCGTTGTAGACCTTGGCTTGAATTAAAAATCCTTGCAATCTTAGTATAAGAAACAAGTGTTTCTCCTAGATTCACATTATTTTGAGGCTAAAATTCTATAGGAGAAAGTGACGAGGCTGCTGAAAAGGGAGATGTTCTGCTGCCCAACTTGAACAAGAATGATTCCCTGCTTTCTTCTCAGAGGAGTAGCACTAGCAAGCTGTGAGACACCTGTTCATATTACTTGCCTTGGTGACCACTTAAAGTTTGTGAAAGACGTTATTGAGACCAGATTTTGCTACAGAACTGAACCAGAATGGCTTCAATCTCTTGCATATTGCCTTGATAATGGGGGTTTTGGAGATGGAGAAGGAAATGCTGAAGGTAGATCGAAATCTCCTCAGGGCAGGGAGAAGAATACCTTCTCACTATGCTGCTTTCAGTCCAACAGCTCAAGACGAGAATTCCCTTCATCTAGCTGTCAAGAACCATTAATTGAAATCCCTCAAACTTTTTTTTTTTCGAGCATCTGAAACAAATAACAAGGAGGATTTAAATAAGGAGGATGACCACCGTTTTGCATCTTGCAGTGTCAACTAAACAATATGAGGCAAGTGAAAATGATCTTCCTTTTGAAATGTTTACAAAATTGCATTCATATATCATCTTTTTACCTTTTAATAATAAAAAAGAAAAATTCAATGGCAGGTTGTTAATTTTGATGAACCTTGTGTTCCTAAAGGCACAATTGAGTTGAATTCCACCTCTTGATATTCTGGTCTTGGAAGCTGGAAATGGAGAAATTAAGAAATAGGTGAAAGCTTGCAATCTCCGCAACGGCAAACTTCATCTCAAAATTGGGTTGTTTCAGTTCAAGATTCATCAAAAGACCAACCAAGCAGAGGCTGAGAAGGGACCAGCCGCTCCCCATTTAGCTGCTGCAAGACTACTTCAAATATGATAAGACTAAAGATGCTCCGGGAAAAGTAAGAGATACCTTCTTGTCATAGCCAATTTAACTGCAACTGCAACTTATCAAGCTGTTCTTGGTCCCCACCATGTGGTGTCTGGCAAGATGATTTTTGGTCTGATAGTAATAATAGCATCCAAAATGATGCCAAACAGAACCTACCACACTCTGCTGGACAAGCAATCAATCAATCATGATTTAGTTTTTAACAATGGGATTTGTGCCCTGAGCCCCTGACAGTTACCATGGGATACTGTTCTTTTCTGTAGTGTTGCCAATCATATCTTACCATGGTGAGAATTGATTAACTATTAGGGAAAAATAACCAAGTTTTATGTCAAGACATCTGTATGAAACTATTCAAATATACATCAGTTCCAGCCTATAAATGTGTCTGATCTTTTACTGAAATTCATGATATTATTTCTTATAAGCTTTGTACTTGTGCAGTCATGGTTTACATTATAAATTGAAAAATCACATTGTTGAACAGAAAACTCTTTCAAAAATCACTAAGTGGAAATATTCTTTAGTACAAAATCGAAGTCTACAAAAGCTGTAGTAGTGTGTCAATATTACCTTATAGTTAATTACATATAAAATTTTGAAATACTATCTGTCCACATTGCTACCTTATTAATTTCTGAACAAATGATTAAATATTTCCTAGTCAAATATATTATCTAGGAGCAGAACAATTAATTAATAGCATTGACTCTAAGTTGCTTGTGGTGACACAATCTGCAAACTAATCCTGATTTCTCTGGCTGACTTGCAGGCATGGATGAATACTTAAATCGGATAAATGAACATCTCAAAGGATGTTAGGTAGGATAAATACTTTGAACACAAGACTTACCAACAAATAAATACATCAAATACAAATACTGTGATCAGAGGACAATCACTAGTTTGTGGGTTTTTTATATTGGGATGAGGGTCAGACATGCCTTCGAGCTTTTCCACAAAAATGCAATTAGACCTTTGATTTGTGTTTCGAATCCATGGCTAAGGATTCTGACTTCAAGATTCTTATCACTTGTGTGAGGCCTTGATGTTTGAACACAGTTTCTGGTATATATATAACATCTTGGTAGAGCGAGTAAATGTGATGTAAGCTGCAATTAATCTATATAAATAGGCTCTTAGTCAAACTAAACTGATGTCACAACAAAATTCTTAATGTATGGGGTTCACATTGATAGGATTCTTTCTTTATATAAATTGACCTGACTGCAGGAAGTGATACTATAGGTATCTTCGGAAGAATGGATGAAAGGCTGTGTGAGATTGCCAGGACAGGAAACGTGGAAGACTTGCTGAGACTGACAGAAGATCATCCCCTTTTGCTGCATACTATTTTGTTGGAAGGTGGAGAAAATCCACTACACATTGCTTGTATTGCAGGGCACGTTGGTTTTGTGAAGAAGGTGATTGGGCTTAAGAAAGAATTCGCTATGGAGCAGAATCAAAATGGTATGACCCCATTGCATATCGCCTCTGCAGCTGGGAATATCGAGATTGCAAGAGAGCTGCTGAAAATAGATAGCAATCTTTGCCTGGTCAAGGGAAGAGAACAAAGGATTCCTCTTCACTGTGCAGCAGTTAAAGGAAGAGTCGAAGTTGTTGAAGAACTGCTTGGAGCTTCTGGAGATTCCATAGCTTACATAACAGCTCGTAATGAGTCTGCACTTCACCTTGCAGTGATGAACTATCAATATGAGGTTCTCAAGGTCTTAGTGGAGCACCTGAAGAAATTCAACAAGGAAGACATCGTAAACCAAAAGGATGTCCAGGGAAGCACAGTTCTTCACCTTGCAGTATCAAGAAGACAATTCGAGGCATGTGTTTGACTAGTTGTGTTCTCTCGTTCTTTAAGCTCTGCTACTACTAATCTTTAGATGATTGAACAGGTGATTTCCCTGATGCTTAATGAAGAGTTCGTCAACAAGAGTGTGCTGGACATAAATTCCTTAAACAATGCAGGTCTCACCCCTCTGGATGTCTTGCTGATTTTTCAAAGCGAAGCAGGTGACAGAGAAATCGAGGAAATGCTAAGAAGGGCAGGAGGTGCAAGGGCAAGAGACTTCTCCCTTCAATCTCTAGAGGCTGATAGAACCGCTACCTCTGATGTTGACCAAGGAAGGCCGCAATCGCCTGCTAAACAATTGCTGGACTATTTCAAATATGACACCATCAAAGACTCCCCAGCTAGAGTAAGAAACACCCTCCTCGTGATTGCTGTTCTCATTGCAACAGCCACTTATCAGGCTGTGCTTAGTCCTCCAGGTGGCGTTTGGCAGGACGGCTCAAATGACCATGTTGCTGGGAAGTCAGTAATGGGTTCACTCAACCCAATAGCATACAGCCTCTTCCTGGTTTCCAACTCTGTTGGATTCTTTACATCCCTTCACATAATCGGCCTCCTCACAAATGCATTCCCTCTGCAGCTAGAACTTCAAATTTCACTTGTTGCACTTATCTTTACATATGATACCTGTATGACTGCTATCGCGCCCAGCAGCCGCATATCTATCATGTTCACTGTCATCTCTATAGTCCTTCCATTTCTGGCACCAGTTCTGAGCAATGGGTTGAGAAACTACCTCAAGGCACCAAGGTGTGAATTGCCACTTACATCCAACTCAAATTCTAGGTAGGGTACTGATACCAAGGGCTTGATTTGTAATATCTGTGCACCCATGCTTTTCTTTCCAGATTAACTACTTGGTTTTACATGTATGACTGCTATTTTAGGTTGAAGCAATTGTACCTTCTTGTGCTAGTCTACTAGACCACTATCTATATAAACTCTTAAAATTCTTGCAAACCAAGATACTTGTTCTTAGTTGATGCAATGGATGACTTTGAAGCAATGGTTTCTATGTTAATGCATTCCATATTGGCTACTAATGAAAATTCAGGTCAAAATAAATGCTTTCAATTAAATCTATACTATACTCATGAGTTTTTTTTTTTGTTGTTTTTTTGTTGTTTTTTTGTTTTTTTTGTTTTTGTTTTTTGTTTTTTTTTTGTTTCTAGTGATGAGAAAACCAATAGTTACTATTTATTGAGTAAATCTCATCCCGTGACTGGTAAACCTAGATTTTTCATAGTTAATGTGACTGGTAAAGGACCCCATAATGAAGTAAATTGACTTAGATTTTTCATAGTTACTCATGCACTGAGACGCTGAAGTAAATTAGCTTAAATTGTTCATAGTTGATTAATTTATTAGTTAGTTACCGGGAATGATATTTCATTCCAGGCCTATTTCACGAGCTAGATGTATAATTAGTGATTTGAGAACATTTACTTGTGGCGGATGCGGGGAGGGGTGTTTTTTTTTTTTCTTTAAATATTAAAATAAAAGTTAATTTTGTAATCGTCACGTTATTCAACTATCAAGTTAACATGTCACTTTAATTTTTTTTGAGTTGGATAACTTAATTGCGGTTTGTTGTGTATTTCGATAGCCGCTTATTTCTAATTTTTTTCATTCCTACTTTTTTTTTTTAGTAATATTGATTCTATTATAATGTAGTATTGTTAATTTTATTTTATGTGCTTAGTTTGGTTAACTGTTAAGTGTTCATATATAAAAATTATATATTTAAAAATTAATTTAACTAATGAATAGAAAATATGACAATAAGATATTAAAAGTGTAATTTTTCCTAAATTAATTTTTTTCATGTACATCTTAATAAAATTATTTGACTATTTTTAACCTTTCTTCCAAACTCGAACATTTACTAGCTAGACACGTGGGCCCTCCCAGCCCGACATCGCGGGGCCTCATTGTACAGTAAATTCCCCGACATATAAAGGAGCCCTGCATGGCCGCATGGGTGTTAAACTCCATTCTTCCCAAAAGGCTGAACCCTAGGGTGTTAAACTCCATGGATGAAGTGTAGAAAGAATGAGGTTGCGGAGATTTGCCGGGATTTCTCAGGGTGGTTGACCGTCTCTGCATGCCGATGATTTCATCTTCCATCATCAATCAACAACCCTAATTGTCGGTTAACGTTTCTGATGAATCATTGCCCAGAATGGTGCGGGCTATTGCCCGCCCTTCTGTGTATTCAATGAATCATCATAATCATCAATTCACCATTCATCAACTCCAACGCTATGAACCTTTTATGGCTTATCTTATGGATAGCCATTGTTGATCTGCTTAAACCTCGGTTTTGCAGTGAAGCTATACGCGCTTGAAACTACAGATCTTCAGTTGCCTGTTCATGTTTGTGTTGTTGTTGTTTCTGTTATTACTACGGAGTATTATTATTATTATTATTGGTTATGTAGGCTGTGATGATGATGATTTTTCTACAGTTCATCAGGTATGGAGGGACCCGACCCGTATCTTGGCGGGGCGACCTCCAGGTCTGCAGCCATGGCGGTATGGCTTCTCCATTACCAAATCTGAGCCTAATTTCTGATGGCAAGTGATTTGCCTAAAGAGTTAATTCCATTTTGGTCCCTTGACTGTTAGATTGTAGCCACAATCTGCTCATATCGTAAAGCTTATTAATCAGAATTCGTTTCTGATCCCTGTTACCACACAAGAATGAGGGTGTAGAGAGATTTGGGTGTTTCTATGGCGGTTGCCCCTCTCTATGCTTCAGTGATTCCTTTAGGTTTTGTCCACATGCAACAGCCAAATATTTCATTCCAACAACAAACAACATATATATATATATATCATTCATCTTTCTGTTTCTTAATACTGGGTAAATAATTTGCTGCATTTTAGCTGCAATGAGAACATATAAAACAAAACAAAAACATTGTTGGTTCCGGTTGATATGTAGGCAGTGATGACAAATATCTTGATCTGATTGGGTAAGGAAGAAGTGAGCCGTATCTTGGCGGGGCAACTGGAATTTTGCAGCCATGGCGCTGTTGCTATCCTTGCTTGATCATATTGCTTGTCTGAGCCTGCTACCTATCTATCTATGTATCTATATCTGTCTGTCTGTCCATCTATCCACTGTTCATATTATTCTTTGGAAGTCCAGTGATTTTCCATTTACTGTTGAAATGATGAGTAGGGGCATTTATGTTGTTAACAGCCACATTATTTTTGCCACAATTGTGCAGGCTATGATGATTTGTATCTTCACCCTCTTGTATATGTTAGTCTTGGAAGCAACTGACCCATACCTTTGGCAAGGCATACTTATATAGCCTATGAAAGGGACTGATTTTCTCTTTCCTCTGTATAGCTATTGAGATTGCAGCCAATGTTGTATCTGTGTGCTTGACTGTTCTTATTTTATTATACATCTGAGCTTGTTCTCACTCACTGTGCACATAGTACATTCTTGAAGACCAAGTTTAAGCTTGGCCAAGTGCTCTTTAACATGTCGCACCCCTACAAGAGTCGAACCTTTGACGTTGCATAGTTGTCAACTTACCAACTATCCCAAATTGTTTGGTTAACAATGACGGTAGGGGTGCAAGAGAGATGTCCATGAGGTTTGCCGGCATTTTGGATTTCTCTGGGTATAACCTGTGGCATAACTTTCTATGTAAATTTATTTTCTTTAAGTGTCACTCTTGAAACCTCAGGTTGGACTAATGCTGTCGTTTGCTTATCTTTTTGTGGATTACCTTATCTGGTAAGTCAATTATCTCACCTTTCATTATCCCACTAAACTGGTGCAATGCTATTTCGTTGTAGACCTTGGCTTGAAACCTTGAATTAAAAATCCTTGCAATGTTAGTATAAGAAACAAGTGTTTTTCCTGGATTCACATTATTTTGAGGCTAAAATTCTTTAGGAGAAAGTGACGAGGCTGCTGAAGGGGGAGATGTTCTTCTGCTGCCCAACTTGAACAAGAATGATTCCCTGCTTTCTTCTCAGAGGAGTAGCACTAGCAAGCTGTGAGACACCTGTTCATATTACTTGCCTCGGTGACCACTTAAATTTTGTGAAAGACGTTATTGCGACCAGATTTTGCTACAGAACTGAACCAAGATGGCTTCAGTCTCTTGCATATTGCCTTGATGATTGGGGTGTTGGATATGGAGAAGGAAATGCTGAAGGTAGATTGAAATCTCCTCAGGGCAGAGAGAAGAATACCTTTTCACTATGCTGTAGCCTGAGGCAAGATTGAAGTAATCAGAGACCTGCTTTCAGTCCAACAGCTCAAGACGAGAGTTCCCTTCATCTACCTGTCAAGAACCGTTAATTGAAATCCCTCCCAACTTTTTTTGCGAGCATCTCAAACAAATAACAAGGAGGCTTTAAATAAGAAGGATGACCACCGTTTTGCATCTTGCAGTGTCAACTAAACAATATGAGGGAAGTGAAAATGATCTTCCTTTGAAATGTTTACAAAATTGCATTCATATATCATCTTTTTACCTTTTAATAATAAAAAAGAAAAAAATTCAATGGCAGGTTGTTAATTTTGATGAACCTTGTGTTCCTAAAGGCACAATTAAGTTGAATTCCTTTAATAAGATGGTCTAGCACCTCTTGATATTCTGGTCTTGGAAGCGGGAGATGGTGAAATTAAGAAATAGGTGAAAGCTTGCAATCTCCGCAACGGCAAACTACATCTCAAAATTGGGTTGTTTCAGTTCAAGATTCATCAAAAGACCAACCAAGCAGAGACTGAGAAGGGACCAGCCGCTCCCTATTTAAGCAGCTGCAAGACTACTTCATCAAATACGATAAGACTAAAGATGCTCCGGGAAAAGTAAGAGATACCTTCTTGTCATAGCCAATTTAACTTCAACTGCAACTTATCAAGCTGTTCTTGGTCCACCATGTGGTGTCTGGCTAGATGATTTTTGGTCTGATAGTAATAATAGCATCCAAAATGATGCCAAACAGAACCTACCACAGTCTCTGCTGGACAAGCAATCAATCAATCATGGAAATCCCAACTCCATTTCATATATGAGCTGTTCTTAATTTTCTACTCTATTGTGCCCTGACAGTTACATATGATACTGTTCTTTTCTGTAGTGTTGCCAATCATAATACCCTAACCATGGTGAGAATTGATAAACTATTAGGGAAAAATAACCAAGTTTTATGTCAAGACAATCTGTATCAAACTATTCAAATATACATCAGTTCCAGTCTATAAATGTGTCTGATCTTTTACTGATATTATTTCTTATAAGCTTTGTACAGTCATGGTTTACATTACACATTGAAAAATCACATGGTTGAACAGAAAACTCTTTCAAAAATCATAAAGTGGACATATTCTTTAATGCAAAATTGAAGTCTACAAAAGCTGTAGTAGTGTAGTCAATATTTCCTGATATTCAATTACCTATAAAAGTTTGAAATACTATCTGTCCACAACAAATGATTAAATATTTCCTAGTCAAATATATTATCTAGGAGCAGAACAATTAATTAATAGCATTGACTTTAAGTTGCTTGTGGTGACACAATCTGCAAACTAATCCTGATTTCTCTGGCTGACTTGCAGGCATGGATGAATACTTAAATCGGATAAATGAACAGCTCAAAGGATGTTAGGTAGAATAAATACTTTGAACACAAGACTTACCAACAAATAAATACGTAAATACAAATAATGTGATCAGAGGACAATCACTAGTTTGATGACTGAAACATGTAGGGTGCCAAAATGCAATGTTTGTGGGTGTTTTATATTGGGATGAGGACCAGACATGCCTTTGAGCTTTTCCACAAAAATGCAATTAGAGCTTTGATTTGTGTTTCGAATCCATTGCTAAGGATTCTGACTTCAAGATTCTTATCACTTGTGCGAGGCCTTGAGGTTTGAACACAGTTTCTGTTATATATATTAATATATAACATCTTGGCAGAGCATGAGTAAATGTGATGTAAGCTGCAAGTTAATCTATATAAATAGGCTCTTAGTCAAACTAAACTGATGTGACAAAAAACTTCTTAATTTATGGGGTTCACATTGACAGGAGTCTTTCTTTAAATCTTTATATAAATTGACCTGACTGCAGGAAGTGATACTATAGTTGTTATCTTCCATCGGAGGAATGGATGAAAGGCTGTGTGAGATTGCCATGACAGGAAACGTGGAAGGCTTGCTGAGACTGACAGAAGATCATCCCCTTTTGCTGCATACTGTTTTGTTGGAAGGTGGAGAAAATCCACTACACATTGCTTGTATTGCAGGGCACGTTGGTTTTGTGAAGAAGGTGATTGAGCTTAAGAAAGAATTCGCTATGGAGCTGAATCAAAATGGTTTGACCCCATTGCATATCGCCTCTGCAGCTGGGAATATCGAGATTACAAGAGAACTGCTGAAAATAGATAGCAATCTTTACCTGGTCAAGGGAAGAGAACAAAGGATTCCTCTTCACTGTGCAGCAGTAAAAGGAAGAGTCGAAGTTGTTGAAGAACTGCTTGGAGCTTCGGGTGATTCCATAGCTTACGTAACATCTCGTAATGAGTCTGCGCTTCACCTTGCAGTGATGAACTATCAATATGAGGTTCTCAAGGTCTTAGTGGAGCACCTGAAGAAATTCAACAAGGAAGACATCGTAAACCAAAAGGATGTCAAGGGAAGCACAGTTCTTCACCTTGCAGTATCAAGAAGACAATTCGAGGCATGTGTTTGACTAGTTGTGTTCTCTTGTTCTTTAAGCTCTGCTACTACTAATCTTTAGATCACTGAACAGGTGATTTCCCTGATGCTTAATGAAGAGTTCGTCAACAAGAGTGTGCTGGACATAAATTCCTTAAACAATGCAGGTCTCACCCCTCTGGATGTTTTGCTGATTTTTCAAAGCGAAGCAGGTGACAGAGAAATCGAGGAAATGCTAAGAAGGGCAGGAGGTGCAAGGGCAAAAGACTTCTCCCTTCAATCTCTAGAGGCTGATAGAACCGCTACCTCTGATGTTGACCAAGGAAGGCCGCGATCGCCTGCTAAACAATTGCTGGACTATTTCAAATACGACGCCATCAAAGACTCCCCAGCTAAAGTAAGAAACACCCTCCTCGTGATTACTGTTCTCATTGCAACAGCCACTTATCAGGCTGTGCTTAGTCCTCCGGGTGGCGTTTGGCAGGACAACTCAAATGACCATGTTGCTGGGAAGTCAGTAATGGGTTCACTCAACCCAACAGCATACATCCTCTTCCTGGTTTCCAACTCTGTTGGATTCTATACATCCCTTCACATAATCGGCCTCCTCACAAATGCATTCCCTCTGCGGCTAGAACTTCAAATTTCAATTTGTGCACTTATCATTACTTATGATACATGTATGACTGCTATCGCGCCCAGCAGCCGCATATCTACCATGTTCACTGTCATCTCTATTGTCCTTCCAATTCTGGCTCTAGTTTTGAGCGTCGGGTTGAGAAGCTACCTCAAGGCACCAAGATGTGTATTGCCACTTACATCCAACTCAAATTCTAGGTAGGATACTGATATCAAGGGCATGATTTGTAATTTCTGTGCATTTCCATGCTTTTCTTTCCAGATTTACTACTTGGTTTTACATGTATGACTGTTATTTTAGGTTGAAGCTATTGTACCTTCTTCTACTAGTCTACTAGACAATACACTATCTATATAGTCTCTTTAAATTCTTGCATACCATGATACTTGTTCTTAATTGATGCAATGGATGACTTTGAAGCAATAGTATTCTATGTTAATGCATTCCATATTGGCAACTAATGAAAATAGGTCAAAATAAAAGCTTTCTATTAAATCTATACTCATGAGTTAATTTTTATTTTTGAGTAACGAGTGAAACCAATAGTCACTATTCGATGATATATTGGTATGCCTTGGGTAAATTTCATCTTGTGACTTGGTAAATGATCTCATAATAAAGTAAACTCATCTTGTGACAGGTAAATGATCCATAATCAAGTAAATTCTTGTGACTTGTAAACTTAAGTTTTTCATTGTTACTTGTGCACTGAGACAGTGAAATAATCTGTTTAGATTGTTTATAGTTGATTTCTATAGTGTAATTAGTATTTGGATCAGCTTAGATTGTTTATAGTTAATTTCTGTAGTTTAATTAGTGTTTGGGTTCGAACCTATGGTTGGAATGAACTAGTAATAAAAAGAAAGGGGAAGAAAATTTAAAACTTAAGGGCAATTCGGTAATAAAATGAAACTTCACATTGAGTAAGCTTACCTTATCTTCAGAAATGTCTAAAACCCTAAATTCAAGTTTTAATCTTATATGGAGTAAGCATGCCTTATCTTCAGAAATGTCAAAACCCCTAAATTCAAAGCTTTAATCTTTACTCTTCTAGCAAAATTCCGGGCCCCGGCAACCATGCTACTACAAGCCCCCGCCACCGCTACCTCGAAAGCTCCGCTCTTCCGCCACCGCCAACACGGCAGCCTGTCGTCATCCTTCTTCCATTCTCTCTCATTTCCGTCTGGGCTTTCAAGCTCGATACTTCCTAAGCCCCTGACCACCGCCGGTGACCCCGCCTCTGTTGCTATCACCTGCGCTTTGAAATCGAAACCCCGCGGCCGTGGCACGGTGGACTACGAGAGGAGGCAGAAGGGGCGGTGGTTTGACATTTACAAGAGATTATCTTCAATGCAGGACCCGGAAGCGGGCGCTGCTAGTGTGTTGAACCAGTACGAGAATGAGGGCAAGAAGATTTCAAAATTTGGCCTCTCTCGTGTCGTTAAGGAATTGCGCAAGTTCAGGAGTTACAAGCTCGCTCTTGGGGTAAAAAAACACTAATTGATTCCATCAAAATTTTGATTTCTGCTTGTTTGTTTGTTTGTTTGTTTTGATTTTTGATAGCTTATAATGTTATCTGTGATTCTTTGAGTGAAGAGAAAACCCGCAGCCACTCTCCAAGAGGGCATTGGATAAATCCCGCCTTGTGACACTTACAAAAGATCACAAGTAGCGAAACTAGCCTAGGTAGGGCACCGGGTAATTCCTATCTTGTGACCATAGCGGGCAAAGGACCACAAGTAGCGAAACTAGTCTAGGTTGCCATAGCTCACCGACTCAAATCAAGAAGGCCAACAGGTCACTCCCGGTTAAACTTATAACCTTTTGGTGACCAAGTCAACAGTATGATCAACTTGGTTGGGTTCGAGCCCTCTCTTGTATGGAAAAACCAATATGACCCCCTTAATTGGGTCGGCCCGGTGCGAACAGAGATTAGTACCAGCTTAAAGGTGTCTGCTACCGTTAGGGTCTGCTCTCAGGACACCTCGTGGTTTAACCCAAAATAAAACTTGGTTGGGTTGCCCCATTCTCATTTCTCAATGATTCTTGATTGATTGTTTGGTTGACTAACTATAATCTAAAAGCGTGAAATCTCAAAGCTACATTCTTGACCTGACTAACTTTTTGCTTGATGGTGGATCATGAAACATGTCCCTGTAATGAACTAATTGGAAATCAGTTCCTTATTGCATATTGTTCAGGTCTACGAGTGGATAGAGAATAGACCGGAGAGGTTTTGGATGACTTCGAGTGATATTGCTATTAAACTAGATCTGATTTCCAAGGTGCACGGGATTTCTAGTGCCGAAACCTACTTCCACAAGTTGAGCGATTCCTTGAAGGACAAACGAGTATATGGTGCGCTTTTGAATGCATATGTCCACGCTAGTATGAAGGAAAACGCCGAAGCTTTGTTTGATAAGATGAGAGAAAAAGGTTTTATGACTCAGGCACTTTCATGGAATGTTATGATGACCCTTTACATGAACTTCAAAGATTATGGCAAGGTGGATGCAATAGTCTCGGAAATGATGGCGAAAAATGTTCCACTAGACATGTATTCCTATAATATCTGGATATTATCGCTTGGATCTCAAGGTGCCCTGGAAAAGATGGAGCAAGCATTCGAGCAAATGAAGCTTGAAACGAGCATCACTCTCGGCTGGACTACTTTCAGTACGATGGCTACAATATACATTAAGGAGGGGCAGTTGGAGAAAGCCGACGAGTGCTTGAAACAGATAGAGATGAGATTCCAAGATCAGGGTCGTCTTCCTTACCATTATATCATCGGTCTTTATGGTAACATTGGTAGAAAGGAAGAGGTACACCGTATTTGGGATGTTTACAAATCGAAATTTCTTAATATTCCGAATGTTGGTTACCGTGGTGTAATTTCTTCCCTGGTGAGATCGGGAGATATTGAAGGCGCGGAAAGTATTTATGACGAATGGCTATCGAAAACCTCAACGTATGACCCTCAGATTGGGAATATTCTTTTGGAATGGTACGTGACGAGCGGGCTCACAGAGAAAGCCCAGGCATTTTTTAACAAAATTGTCGAAGCTGGAGTGGAGCCAAACTCGAGGACATTGGAGATTCTTGCTGAAAACCATGTCCGAGTAAGAAGAATCTCCGAGGCACTGTCTTTCTTGAAAGATGCTTTTTCAGCTGCAACATCAAAAAACTGGAGACCGAGGCCGGCAACCATATCTTCAATTCTCGAGCATTGCGAGCAAGCAAACGACGGGGCAAGTAAGGAGCTGTTATTTGCGGTGCTGAAGCAAGTGGGCTGTCTTGACGACGAAAATTACATGTCTATATGTAACGGGAAGCATACCGGAAATGAATTGGAAACAGACGATAATACTGTCGAAGAGAGCGAAAGGGGAGCTGAACTGATTTTCAGCCAACTACATTGATGCCCAGAACAACTTCCACTCTTCTTTTCAGGAGGATGCAGCCATTATTAATGTGCTTGCCAAGAGTCTGAAAAGTCAGATTTCCAGGTTTCAGAAAAAAAATTGACTTGTCTTTTGCAGTATTGGCCTGGAGAAGAAGCAATCTTTCCATATCTGCTCTTCTTGCCTGCAAGTCTGCAATTCTCACCATGGAATAGAAGCGTGTGTTGTACTGGGCATTGGACCATTGAATATATTGTAGGTATGATTCCACACCAATGTATGGAAATTCAAATACAAGGAAATTTTGATATTCTGTCTACCTTTTTTTTTTTTTTTTTTTTTTTTTTTGACACCACAGCCCTCCCCTTTCTCCTCTCCTTTGTGCTTTTTAACTTTGTATTAGGCCCTCGAATTTTTGTAAGTTGCAATTAAGCACATAAACATGTCACTAGGGTTCCGACGGTTGTTCGGTGAGGTTGCGGGCAAAAATCGACGACGAGCGACCAGTATGTCGTCGGAGAAGGCATTACAGTTGGTCGCCTACCAATTATTGCTAATTTTCATCTGGAACCTCGTTGGACAACCGTTGGAACAGGTCACTAATTGATTTTTAGGCCTTGATGTCGCCATCTCCGTTGACGGAGAAGGCAGTTTGGTCACCTTCCCCAATTGCCATCTTCGGAGACTTGATGGTCGTCCGTCACCGATTTTCACCCGAACTCTAGTGACATGTTATTTCAGGTCACTAATCGATTTTGGGATTTGACCTCACGTATAAAGTTCGGATGTATATTTGCTCATTTTCTCTTTGAAAATTTTAAATAAACAAACAAATAGGTAAAATCTTGCAGCAACGTTTTTAACTAATTATGACTTTTTGACTTATAAGAGAAATTGAGAACTAGTTCAAAGTATAAGGAGCCCACATCGATAACACAAGAAATCATAAACATAAGACTGTAATAATTCTACCTTTATAGAATAATTTTTTCAACTTCTCCTATTCTCGGTCTATTCTTATGTAAACTAGGATTACTCTATTGTTTCTCATGCATCTAGAGCATCACATTTTCTCTTAACTTCCTTATTCAATATCTCGATTTATCGGAACATTATTTTATCCTAATAACGATTTAAGTCTAAATTTAAGAATCTAGTCTTACCAGTAAAACCTTATATTTTGAAAAAAAAAAAAAAAAAAAGTTTATAGGCATTTTCACAAAATCTAGTCTTACCAAGAAATCCTTATTTTTTGAAATTTAGAAAAAAAAAAAATAGATAAAAACATTTATGGGTGAAATTAAAAAAATAAAGACGTTTATGGGCATTTTCGCAATAAAATGAAATTTCATACTGAGTGTGCTTGCCTTATCTTCAGAAACCACTAAAACCCTAAATTCCACAGTAATTACAAAATTACACCAAAAAATCTGGAACCCCTGCAAAATGCTGCTCCGGCTCCCCACCACCGCCACCTCCAAAGCCCCACTATTCCGCCACCGCCAACACGGCCGTCTCTCTTCACCCTTCTTCCACTCTCTTTCATTCCCATCTGGGTTTTCGAGCTCGACGCGACTCGAGCTTGTGACCACCTCCAGCGGCCCTACCTCTGTTGCTATCATCTGCGCTTTGAGATCAAATTCCCGCAGCCATGTCACAGCGAACTACGAGAAGAGGCCGAAGGCATCGTGGCTTGCCGTTTACAAGCGATTATCTTCGATGCCGGACCCGGAAAATGGCGCGGCTAGCGTGTTGGACCAGTATGAGGATGAGGGCAAGAAGCTTCCCAAATTTGTTCTTATTCGTGTCATTAAGCAATTGCGCAAGTTCAGTCGTTACAAGCTGGCTCTTGAGGTAAAAGAAAACTAGAGATTTTGATTTGTGATCTTTTTGATGTTCTGACTATAGCTTATAATGTTCTATATGGTTGTTGATTGATTGTTTGGATAGTTTATCTATCAAGTCTTGTTTGGTTGGATTTAGACTTAAATTGGTTTAGGCTAACTGTAATCTTAAAGCATGAAATCTCAAAGCTAGATTCTTGACCTGATTATATCAACTTTCTCTACATATAGCTTTGAATGGTGCTGCCCGTATGGGCAGCTCAGTTGGTTTTGGGTAGTAGATTGTGGGCAAAGACACATGATCCGTTATTCCGTTTAAAAGAAGTGGGAGTTACACTCAATGCAGTCGGCTCCTTGTAGGCACGAGGCACTAGGCACCGGATCCTCCCACATAATGGGTTGCTTGGTTTTAGGGTGGTAGATTGTCGGAAACGGCACATGATCGAGTTTGAAAGCCGTGAGAGTTACATCTAATGTGGTGAGCTTCTTGTAGGCACTAGGCATTGGTCCTCCCACCTAATGGGCTGTTTAGTCACTGTGATTTGCTCCTCCACTATTTTGTTGGGTCGAGGGTCACCGTGATTTATCCCTCTATTATCCTGTTGGGTCGGAGTGTGGGGGTCTTAGGGCAAGAGAATTTTGCCTTTTGTGGGCAAGCATTGAATGGTGGACCATGAAACTTGTCCTTGTAATGAGCAATTTGTATGCTTTCATGGAATAATAATTGGCAATCAGTTCATTTTTGTATATTGTTCAGGTGTATGAGTGGCTGGAAAATCGAAGGTTTTTGATTACCACAAGGGAGATTGCTATTAAATTAGATCTAATTTCCAAGGTTGATGGGATTTCTAGTGCTGAAAACTACTACCTGAAGTTGAGCAATTCGTTGAAAGACGGGCGAGTATATGGTGCACTTTTGAATGCCTATGCCAATGTTAGCGAAAAGGAAAAGGCCGAAGCTTTGTTTGATAAAATGAGAGAACAAGGTTTGATAAAATACGCGCTTCCGTGCAATGTTATGATGACCCTTTACATGAAACTCAAAGAGTATGACAAGGTGGAGGAAATAGCATCGGAAATGATGGAGAAAAATGTCCCGCTAGACATATATTCCTATAATATCTGGCTATCGTCGCTTGGATATCAAGGCTCGGTGGAAAAGATGGAGCAAGCATTTGAGCAGATGAAGCTTGACACGAGCATCAATCTTGGCTGGGCTATTTTTAGTACGATGGCTACAATATACATTAAGGCGGGGCAGCTTGAAAAAGCTGAATCTTGCTTGAGAGAGATTGAGAGGAGAATCCAAGGTCAGAGGCGTCTTCCTTACCATTTTCTCATTAGTCTTTACGGTAGTGTTGGTAAAAAGGAAGAAGTACACCGGATTTGGAACGTTTACAAATCAAGTTTTCTTAATATTCCTAGTATGACTTACCGTGGTGTCATTTCTTCCCTGGTGAGATCGGGGGACATTGAGGGTGCAGAAAATATTTACGATGAATGGCTGTCGATAAACTCAGCATTCGACCCCCGGGTAGGAAATATTCTATTGGGATGGTACGTGAGCAATGGGTTCACAGAGAAAACCGAGGTATTCTTTAACCAAATTATTGCAACCGGAGGGCAGCCAAACTCGTGGACATGGGGGATTCTCGCTGATCACCATATGAGAGCAAGAAGAATCCCCGAGGCTCTGTCTTGCTTGAAGGATGCTGTTTCGGATACAAAATCAAAATACTGGAGACCTAGGCCTGAAACCGTATCTTGTATTCTCCAGCATTGCGAGCAAGAAAATGACGGGGCAAGTAAGGAGCTATTATTCGAGGTGCTGAAGGAAGCGGGCTGTCTCACCGATGCAAAGTACATGTCTATATGTTCTGGGAATGAATTGGAAGAGGATAATAATAGTGATGACGAAGAAACTAACGAGGGCGCTGAATCGATTTTCAACCAACTATTACCTGCAGCTTAACAAGCTTAGCTTGCCAAGAGTGAAACGTCAGATTTCAGAAAGAATTGACTTTTGGCTTGCTCAGTATTGACATGCAGAAACCATGTTTTTGCTTGCCTTGTAACATATTCCATATTGCTCTTCTTGCCTGCAATGCTTCACCAAGGAATGAAAGCATATATCATGGCCCTGTTTGATAACATAGGTAGCTTTATCAGTTAATTTTGGCTTATTTGACTATTATTCGCTGTTTGACTCGGGTAAATAATCAATGAATGTTTGATTAATTAGTTTTTTGTAACAGCTTATTACTCTAAAATGATAAAATTCAAAGACTTGCTTTTTCGATAAGCTTTTTGAAAAAATCATTTAACATGGAATCAGCTATCAGTTAACAGCTAATTTACCAAACACTTTTCACAATCAACTAATGTTATCAATTAGTCAAACCCACTAACCCAATCAGCTAACAGTTATTTATTAAACACCCCATTATATTTATTGGGCTTTGGAGCATTGAATGTTGTAGTGAGTTTATAAGAGCATCATTATCAGTTGGGAATATTATGGGGATATTGTAAGAGTGATTAGGAAAGAGAAGATGGGAGGGGAGAGAAAAAAGAAAGAAAAAAAATAACAAAACTTAAATTTAAAAAAAAATAGATAAATGAAGCGTCACAGCGTGCCTGAAGCGTCACACATGCGCGTGCAGTGCACGTGCCCGTGTGGCCATCGCGTACAGTTTGTGTTTTGTTTTGTTTTTTTTTTTTTTTTTTTTTTTTTTTTTTGGTTTTCTGACATTCTTTTTAAACTTTACAGGAGAAATAACTCCCTGATTAATCTCACCCCACATCTATAAATAACCCAACTCAAGTTATTTCATCTTATATTAACCCAATACTATGCTCTATTGTGGATGCTCTAATTTATATTGCTAATTCATATGATTCCACCATTATATTATAATGGAAATTTTGCTTTTCAGTTTAGTTTGATACACATACACTGCTGGGCACCAAGATCCTCTGGCTCTCCTTGATGCCTTTAAGTTTGTATTTATATTTTTATATTCATAATTTAGGATTTTTTTACGGTGCTTATTTTAGTACAACCACACCAGTCCTGTGTAGACAATTGTAGTATCTTAATTTGCACCAAGCATAATTACACCAGCACTGTACTATATAGTTTATAAATTTAATTCAAATAGCGTCTTAAAAATTTATTATGTTCTTAGTATCTTATGTCATTATAGTTTGGTCACCTTTAAGAAAACATTCTTGGCTCCACCATTATCAACATGAGACAGATTTTCGAAATTAGCTAGCCAGGCAACCTTTATTTTGAAAAAGATAAGAAAAGAAAAGGCATCTTTAATTTGCAGGAAGATGTCTAGAAGATATATATATATATATATATATATATATAGTTGAGTTCAAATTACGACAACAATATATAGAGGGCTATGAAGACTAATAATGGGCACACAACAAATTAATAGCAGACACACAATTTAATACATAATAGCACACAAGAATACATGTAAACACGAACCTAGACTTTATTAATTAACAAATTTATGTACGCGACATACAAATTGTTGCACACGACTACATTCGGTCATGCACACGACATACAGGCTAATGACACACTACATCTGTCCTCACAGTCCTCTATAATATACTCGTCCTCATTTGAACTCAACTCTTTCTCTCTCTCTCTCTCTCTCTCTCTATATATATATATATATAAATTCATGTGCAGATCTGCACCGCCTAGTATGCATGAATGCACTACCACGTGTTGCACCAGGGTGTGGTGCATTTTTATCGTGCATTTCACCCTAACTAGTGTATTTCTAATACGGTGCATTTATGTATACCTGGTGGTGTAGATTCGCACGTTCACATGAGAAACTTTGTCCGCATTGTGTAATATATATAACATAATATATTTATAGTCGGATTAAATTTTTAGTTGAGTGTTTTACACACTTGAGGGGCGCGTTGCACAACATGCAACAAAATTCTTGGTAGATTATTTATGCTTAATTAGAAAGAAATGGCAGTGATGGTGGTTCTGCTAATGAAAGATTTGATGATGACTCACTAATTTCTGTGGATAAAATTAACATACCAGAAATATATAGCTAGATCAAACTTGTGAATATCTGAAGGACATGCATGCATAATGCACATTTGACTGTTTCAAAACATTATAGTATCTCTTATATACTTAATTGACTCTTAATTAGTCCACCATTAGTGGATTTTGCATGTGGGTGAGATCTTATATACTAGCTAGACAGGCAAGTGCACCAGATCAGAAAGATTAGTGTCTAGAATATCTTTTTTCTCTGTAATAATAATCTATAGGACCTCATTACTAACTAGTTGCAAAGACATAACGTTATTTCCTTATACTTGCGTAACAATTAATGCCACGTTCTGATGACAAGATACTGGACTCGACCCTGCAAGCGTATTAGTAATATATATATATATATATATATATATATGTTTGCAATGGTTTTTATTATGTGTGATTAGGGATGTAATCTTAGCCTTAAACTCCATAAAAATCAATTCGATTAACTCGAAACCAAAAATCAATGGCATGATACCTTTTAAACTGTACATTTTTATGCACAAGAACTCAATCCAAACTTAAACACCCAATATTCGTGACAGGAATCAAACGGCCATCACCCTTCCATTGAAAACAAGTCTTAAACGCGAGCTTTCATTTATTAGACCAATGCCTCGAATGCAACCACAGCTCATTATTACATGAGAAAGAAGCTGGGTATGTAAGTGCATGCAAAATGGCATGTTTACAATAATCATTACCTAGGATGTACTCACAATTAAATTGAAGTAAATGGGATTTGATGAAAGCTTAATTAGTTGGGAACCCATATATATATGTTTAACAAACATGGTGGTGATATTTACATTTGCAAGAAACAATCAATATGCCCTACTTGGTCAACAAAAAGAATCACTACACTCATTACGTACACTTCATCATCTTATTAACTAATAAGTTCTTTGGTTTAGTTTCAATTCAAATGCACTAATAAGCTAGCTACCTTCATCCACTAACTTACTTAAGAATTAGACTTCTTTAATTTTATACTACTAATTTGACTTTCAATGTGTTTCCTGGATATCTAAGCAACTTAACCATGACTAGATAATCTGTCTTTTCATAGCTTACTCAGATCAATACACACACACACATTCCGTGCGGACTTTCAAATGCGGATAATACTTTCCGTGCAAATTCATCATTAGGTATTTATAAATGTAACACGCACTGTTTGAAAATGCACCACAATAAAGTGCACCAATGCACCACAAAATGCACAACACCTCACCGCACCTAATGATGCATTTCTGAACATTTTGTGATGCATTTATGCATACCTAGTGGTGAGTGACCGCACGTGAAGCACTGTCAGCACGTGAACTTGACCATGTATATATATATATATATATATATATATATATATATATATATATATATATATATATATATATATTAGTCATATTAAGTTATGACTAATATTTGTATCATTTTGGTCATATAATATTGGATTTCACCTTTCAAGTCTAACTAATAGTATTTCAAATGAAGTCCAGCTATTATTAGATCCTATTTGATTTGATGAGTTGTGCTTATGGATCCATTCATAATAGTATAATAATACCCCCAATACTCCATACAAGAGGAAGAATACCCAAAAAAAAAAAAAAAAAAAAATAGAAAGAAAAAGAAGATCATAAGAAGAAAAAGCTTGGTCACTTCATATGAATAAGATGCAGGGAGAATAAGAGCATCCATAATAGTGGAGATATTTTATGATTTTTTAGGAGTTTTTTAAATGTAATTAGAAAAGAGAATATGAGAGAAGAGAAAAAAAAAAAGAAAAAAATAAAAAATAATTTTAAAAATATTAATAATAAACACATTGTGGATCTAGATTCATGTTACTACATACCCCGATGCATGCATTCATAAGACTACTCTTCGAGAGTCAAGACTTTATATAAAAGAGAAAATACAACTATACCCTAATAGAAAAAACATTTTTTTTGGGAGACCAATAATAATGTAACAATACATAAATGACAGAGCTGAGCTAGGTAATTTGTTGATGAAACCCTTAGGAGGATAATATAGATACAAACATAGGATCCGAGGACATATATTATTTATGTTCGACCATTACAGATATTTATATATATAATGTTATTATATATATATATATAAATATGGAAGTAGTAAGATATATATATATATATATGTAATGTAGTCTAGAAAGAAGTGAAACAATCATGTTCAGAAGAGTTGGAGTCATCGCAGGGGGAATGATTGTGTCTACCTTCATAAGTTGTTATTACCATCCTGCAATCTTCAGAAAGCCGTTCCACTCTCTTCTTCACCCGACAATTACTGTGTGTACATCGGTAGTAACTTCTGCATACATTTCAACTCTTAGCTTTCTTCATTAATTATCTATATAACACGCATGTGTGTTTGTTCAATATAAATATATACATCAAATACTAAATATACAGTATGTAGTCCATTATTCACTCTAAAGTTTTAGTTAAGATATATCTTTTAATTTGTGTTAAAACTAGTATTTACAACATTGTAATACTAATGTGTGTATGTATATATGGTTAGATCATATTATAGAGGTCTTATTCTTTGGGTCTTCTCTAATGCACCCAAAAAAAAAAAAAAAAAAAACTTTCTTGATACCAGTCTAGTGAAATCCCCTAGCTAGTAGTTAGGCATAGATAAATAGTTCGATTCCTGTTAACATAATCTGAATCAATTAAGTAGTATATGGTTTTTCTACCACAAGTTATTTCTGTTGTGTGGTTTAGGGGGTATAATACTTGAGCTGGGATTTACCAAGCGCCTGTCCTCTCAAGTAGTAGTTATGTATTTTTCTCGTCACCCAAAAAAAGAGATAAATATCATTTTATAGTTAATTTTACTTTTAGTTTATGATATTTATACACTTAGTATTGTGTGTGTTTTTTTTCTTTTAAATTTGATCATATTTCATTTTTTAATTTCAAGTTTCTAAAAATAAGGCTAAATTTGACAGAGAATTGAAGTCAAGAATGCAAGTGGTGAAATTAAAATAGTAGCTACAATTAAATGTAAAAATGCATCCTTGTGACTAAAACTAGAATTAGCTCTAACATTTTATATAACTCTATATAACAAAATATTCATCAAAGTCATATCTTAAATGGTACTAAAATGAGAGAATTAAACACTACACACATATACACAAAACCTAATATCTTGATTTGAAAATTAGATATATGGATCATATATTATATATGTTTTACCATACCATTTAAGCATAAAAGCATTTGAATATATAAGAAAAATGAAAAAAAAATACTTTCGATACTAAATTTTATGTCAACTGATTTGATATTACTTGCGGTAAGTGTTACAATTTTTTATATTTATTTATTTCGTATTATTCATGAATATAAATATTTTACTTCGAGCGTGCATCAATTTTTGTATCAAAATGTTGTTTAACTTCGTTGTTCAATAGTCTCGATTATAATTTAATTTAGATTAATATTTTAATTTAAAAAAAATTAAAATTATGATATTTGAGTCAAGTACACTCCACATTCATGTGCAATTTTTTTTTTTTATTTCAAACTTTTTAAAAGAACTTCAGTAAAAGTTTAGTCAAAGTGACAGCCATCACAGGGCAAAAGAAGACAAGTAAAATTTAGAGTGTCAGAAATGAACACTGATGAAGATTCACAGATGTAATCTAGGGCAAGGACAAATGAATCTTACCCTATATGTTATCATTATCCTTAATATTCTGGCCAGGAATTCGACAAAATCTTATCCCTAATTATCAGTAATCTTTGGTTTATTAACAATTAAGGAAATGAAAAAAAAAATTGTACTAAAAAACCAACCAGGAATACACTGTACTACTAACATTCCCATCCACTTCAGAAATCTGTCAGTAATGATAGCCAATCTGCATTATTCTGTGTACTCCTAACAACTCATTTTTATATTCTTTCATTATGAGTTGTACTTTTTATGACAATAATTCAATTTTAATTATAAAAATTTAACCTATAATTAAAAGATAAAACCAAGCATTAGTCAACAATCTTCTAGATAAAGGGCATATATCATCCTATTCAATTAAATTTTTTCTTTTTTTAAAATCAAACTCTCAATTCCAGTAGCTATTGACCTTCATCGTTTGAGTTATTTTTTTTTATTTTTTTTTTTTTTGAAAGCCATCGTTTGAGTTATTTAGTTATGCTTAACCTAGTTGATTTATCTGCTGATTGTGACTGTGACTTTTCCTAATCGATCACTCAATATCCCTTAACCTAACACGCATAGAAGGGTTGATATCGACCCTTCGTAATTGCATTAGCCCTTCGTTTACTAAGAGTATAACAGTTCGTTTATCAACTGTCCAAAAAGGGTATGTTTAATTGATTGAAGAAACATGCATATATTATGATGAAGGAAAATTAATGTTGTGTTATACCTGGGATGAAGGCTGTTCTTGACAACTTTCTGCCCATATTTCCTCCATTTGTACCCATCATCAAGAACATCAACATCGCTCCTTGTTTGGAAGCAAAATCTGGGCTCTCTCAGCTTTCTCCTCACTTTCACTTTCCCCTTGTCAACCAGCGACGACGAGCTCCTCCACCTGCAAAACCACAACCTTATTCTCATCAAAAAACAATTAAGGAAAACTAATGTATGTATATATATATATATATATAAATGTGTTCTTCCAAGTGGGCTGCTATGTGCAGTTCTAGCAGGTACAGTGTTTTGAGCATTATTATGTATGTTATAGTGGATCTACCACTTCTTGTCCTTCTCAACCTGCACTATACACTAAACTCTACATACACAAATATAGTGAGAGAGAGAGAGAGAGAGAGAGAGAGAGAGGCTATGTTAGAATTAGAAACCGAGCAAGTAATATAAGGATGTTTTGTCTAGATATACATCATCTTCTTGGATGTACGATTCTGATGATCGAGATTCAAGAAAATATGGATCGAAGCTTCTGTAGAGCACCAAAAGGAGATAGTGCCCAAAAGAGGGTATCAACTATCAAAAAGTTTGAGAGAGATAAGAGAGAGAGAGAGAAGCAGGCAATACACCTACAGGTTAAAAGACATCACCTTCAATCCGTGGAAATCTGTCCAAAAGATATATACATATAATAATATACAGAGAAAGGTGGGGGTGGGGGTAGGGGGTAGGGGATTTGTTTCATTTATTTATTCTTATTTGGTTTCTGCATTTTTTGAAGAAGATGAAGATATGAAGAAGATATATATATAGAGAGAGAGAGAGATGTATATATATATATATACCATGAATTGTTACCCTCAGCTGCATTTCCACTGCAATTTTCATCGTTTGCACCCTTAGGATCCATCGTTCCAACCTATTAAAGAATTAAGGAAGAGTTCCAGGAAGAAACTGTTAGAAAAGTGAACTTAATTCAACAGAAATATTTAATTAGTTTTATTCAACAGAAACATAGGAAATCGAAGGAGAATCTGCCCCATAAAGTATGGATACATATGATGTTTTGTTTTGAGGACTAAAACAATGAAATCCAACTACTACCTGGTCGTTATTATTCCATGAAGGTCTGTTGGAAAGCTGCGGCTCGGAGTGGCTAAACCCTAGAGAAGCAGTGGCGGCGGCGGCGTTGCTGGTGGACTTGGCGGCGGCCGCGGTGGTGGAGGCGGCGTTGCTGCAACTGCTGCTGCCGTCGAGCGGCTGAGACGAGGAGGAGAGAGGGGTTAAGAAGCTCATCACCGCCTGGTTGTGATCCTCGAACTGTACAAACCCCATTTCGTGATGCATAGCCGCATGAGGATGATGATGATGATGGTGATGAGGATGGTGGGGAGTGGAGAAAGAGACTTGTAATCCATAATTGGGTAGCCCTGATCTTCCTTCATCACCTTCCATTCCTCTCTCTCTCTCTACCTCTCTCTTTCTTCTTCGGAGATATACGATGATGATGGGATTATCCTACAACACAGACAGACAGAGCAGATAGATAGATCCTGTTCAACCAAGGTGGTTTAGTTTCTGATCCAAACTCTCTCTCTCTCTCTCTCTCTCTCTCTCTCACTCTCTCTCTCTTTCTCTCACTGCATATATATACAGAAAATTAAACTGTCTCTGGTTTTGCTTACTGGGAGATCAGATGCAGTGTTTGGGGTGCATGTAGATGAGCTTCTTCATTCGAGGCAATCTAGGTATAAAAGAAAACTAGGGTATTGTGTTGTTGTTGTTGTTGGGGAGTACTAGAATTTCATTTGTTGCTAGCTGCTACCTTGTACATACATGGGGGTACTCTCTCTCTCTCTATCTCTATCTTTTGAGGAATTAAGTACTGTTTGGCCGGGGTTTGGTCAATTGGTAAACGCTCTGCGGATTTTTGTATTTTTATTATTTTTATTTTTCGATGATTGAATTCTTACTGCCTTCAGATTTTGGTGTTGGTATATTTTGGAAAAGTTTCAACAAGTGCCGAAATTTGTACAAGACCTTTGACTCCTCCAATAGACCAATACTTAGCCATCCACCCTAACTGCTACTATATGTATATATCATATCGAAGGGTATTTTACTAGGGGCACCCCAAGCTAAATTCATTGGGAATAGTTCACTTGGTAACTATAAGATCTTAAGTTTTTATTGTGTAGATAAAACATTTACTATTACACCAATAGTTATAGCTAGTAATGTTAGGTAGCCCAACCGTTTGATGAACCCATGATCCTGGCTTTGATATCAATTGTAGGATCAAACATTTATCACTATTGACAGATAATATACTTTTGACGACTAGATGTATAAGTGCTCGACATGTACCCCATGGGACACGAGGAACAATCCGCGACCCGAACCAACCCGCTTCAGTAACAAGACCCAACATGAATTGAAACACAATCTCATCATATGCGGTATTAACTATAGTGTATTCCGGGCTCAGTCCCAACCCCGTAGCTCGGACCGGGTGTCCCGGGCTGATAAGACCTTTTTTACTAGAAGACAAGCACAGTAGGTAACGCACTACCCGGTCGCAGTAGGCCGGAGTGAGCATGTCACGAATCTTTTCACATGTGGACCCATTGGCGATGCCTCCGACCTCCCCAGTGCATGCGCTACATGTGGCACACATCATGTCGAGCCCCCAGCATGTGTTCCTTACTTAACCCTTATGAATACTGTATTTATTGCTAACAGAAGGTGAGGGACTTTGCTCTGTCAAAACTCTTGTGAGCTCGGGACCCTCCGACCCTCGGTCTTAACTACCCTGAACTAAATAGATCGGAGGAAGAGATCAGACAAATAACCCAACCTCCCCCACTTCAAGAATGGGACAACAATTACATAAGCTTTACCTGACAATAAAAAAAGTAGGGACTTCAGGAATCTTAAGGCACGTGGCAAAATCCGCAAGGCCTCCGGTCTGCCCTTCTGCATGAAGAGCACGCGTCACACATGACGGGCTTCCGGCATGTGTTCCCTTCATTTCCCCTATAAATAGAGCATTAAATGCAAATGGAGTGACTTTTTTGACACTTTCTTCTGCATACCTACTTTTAGCCCAGGAACCTCCGACCCACAGTTGCGTAACCCGAGCTTAAAGACTTAAACCAACAAATAGACTAAGACAGGATCCCTATACGATCGAACCCTCGTACATTACATGTCCATAGGAATCACCATATTTACTACATCATGCTTAAGGTATTTTTCAGCTTAAGGTGCGCCAGTTCAGGACACCTGATCATTTGCATTCATGTTGCCGGGACGGCAGGATGCACATTTTTTTTTTTTTTAAAAAAAATTGACTAATCCCTGTTCGCTCTAAGATGCACGGGAGCTGACCCAAAGAAAATCATAACTTGTGGGAATCAAACTCAGGTTATCCTGAAATTCTCTCCACAAAGAGAGTTCATTTGTCACTTGAGTTATGAAACATTCAAAGATGATAATATATGATTCATAGTTAATCATTTTGATAGTTCAATGTTTATGTGTTACAGATGAAGGCCAGATTAGCGCACAACCCATTGGTGGAGTAATGTAATTAAGTCTTTGTTCCTGATGATAAAAGTCAGCTAAGCGTGTAATTAACTTCCTGGCCCGGCCAGTTCAGGATTTATTTCGTTTTCCATGAATTCCCTAAATTATTCATGTTATTCCTATTACTACAGCTGGACAAAAAGTAATCATGGGTGAAGACTATGTTGTTCTGACGTTCAAACCACGTATTTACATTTTTTTCTTCCTTTCTTTCTTGTTTCTGCCTTTAATGAATTAATTTCCATAAATCATGGTCAAATTGTACTTTGAATATGCTAAGCCTCAATTAAGTTGGACAGTTCTAATTACTAAGTTTTTGTTTGCGTTTTCACTTCAAGAAGGTAAGGATTAAGCAATCATTATTACACTAGCGCTAAATAATCCATTTTCTAATACCTTTCAGTCTTAATTGCATAGCATGTTTATAGTGGGATTCGAACTTATGATGTGTTTAGCATTACGTCAAAAACTATAATTAGTAGTAATTGCTCAATTTTATTTCCTTATACTTGCGTGGTAGTTAACACCATGCTTTGATAGCAAGATGTTGTATTTTACTCTCCGATATCAGCATATTAATTCCTCCACAAAACTAATTGTTGGGCGACTGCTTGGAGAGTCGAGTCCACCATCTTGCCATCGAAACGTGACGCTAATTGTTACACAAATATAATATAACAAACTTGCTCATCATTCGCTACTAGCTATAACTTTTGGTGTAATAATAAACGCTTTATGTTGGCAATTGCATCAGAGCAAGTATGATGGGTAGTTAAGGCTGGTAGATGCACCGTTACACAGTATTAAAAAAAAATAATTTATGCATTCACTACTAGTTAAGCACCCCATCATTTCTTCTTCTCCTAAATACTGCATATTAAATTAGTAAGTTAAGTCACTACGGACAACCTCACCCGTATTCTGCTCAAGGAAGATGGTTGCATCAAATTATTAAGTACAAGAAGTTAAAATAACAAGATGGTGGAATAAAATCAAAGTTAAAATAATTGATACTTACAAAAGGGGATTATTATATTGCTTGATCATGTAGTAATTGTTGTCCCCTTGAAGCAAGGAAGCCCAAGGTTTGTTGGACAGTGGACCGATCCTCAAACAAACAACTAAAACTTTCCATTCTAGGTAGCACATTCATATTGTTTTTTTAGTACAAGCACAAAGAAATCAATACAACTCGAACCAATGACTTCTCATTTAAGGGAGTCATTGCATATCATTTGGTCACAAGATCATTAGCTCATATTATTAGTCCAATAATTTGTTTAATTTGCTTGAAAACATTCATTTTATATATTAATACATTATGATTTTACCTATATAGTGTATATGCCGATAATACTGAGTACAGTTATACATATATTGTTTTTTTGTTAGACAAGATATACTATATATAAGTATCAGTAACTATAGTATCTGATACAATTAAATATATCATATACTTTTTGAAATAAAGTATATCATATATACATATAAGCATATAATATTGGGTATATATATACTTTTTAGTTTTTTTTTTTTTTTTTTTTTTTTTGGGTGTTACAGTGGGTACTATCAACACTCAAGGCAATAATACTTAGTACAATTAATTAAGTATATCATACATAACAGTATCTTTATGGACTATGTGTGTAGACTGAAATTTCTAAGGTCTCATACACCTTGCTTATTATCAACATTAGATACAACTAAAAAGTTTTTTGGACCAAAAGATCAGATACTAATCGTACTTAAAGGAATCTTGAATTGCTTAAACATGTAGTGCAAGGATTCAAACGCATATGTATACATCAACACTTTTAAGAAAGTTGTTAATTCTCTGAATGAGATTTGACTAAAACTCGATTGAATTAGTCGCATCATATAAGTTGTGAATACCAATACACACAGTATTAACAAAACAACAAATGATTGTATCTAATATATATTTTGGTAACAAGTATCTTTACAATACTTATCTATAACTTAGAATTTTTTATTTTTATTTTTAAATATAGATTGGGCATCATATTGTGTTGGTATATTTAGATAGATGAGATGTGAGGTAGATAGGAAAAGCAAGGAGAAAGATGAGACATGCAAAAATTCTAGAGCGCAATAATGAGTGGGTGTAGGGCCATCACAATTTCCATCCATGTCAAGAGAATGTCTTGTATATATTGTATGTATATGTATGAATGAATATAATGGTTGTATGTATATGTATATGTATATATGTGTGTAAATATAGTTGAATGAAAGGGACATATTGTTGGAGAGTGAAACATATATAGCTGATGATAAGCCTCTAGCTAGCTCATCAAATCCTGCCAAATCTATTTCCAATAGATGCTCCCTCCCTCCATTGTCTTCTCACTCCACCCTTCCCTGCAAAAAGATGAAACAAACTATCACACTCACTTCATTCATAATAACCCCCATTCATCATATATATATATATATATATATAGATGTGTATTCAAATGAGGACAAGTATATTATAGAGGACTGTGAGGACAGATGTAGTGTGTGTCATTAGCTGGTATGTTGTGTGCATGGCCGAATGTAATCGTGTGTTAATGTTTGTATGTCGCGTGCTAGATTTGTTAGTTTATAGAGCCTGGATTCGAAACCCGATGTTTACATTTATTCTTGTGTGCCATTATGTATTATGTTGTGTGCCTGGTATTAATTTGTTGTGTGCCCATTATTTGTCCTCACAATCCTCTATATATTGTTATCTTCATTTGAACTCAACCCTCTATATATATATATATATATATATATATATATATATATATATATATATATATATATATATATATATATCTTTCTATGCATAAATAAATAATAATAAAATAGAAAAATTCAATCAGGCAAGTTAATTACTTGATAATTATAACGCTCTAACTTTTGATGAGAACGATTTATTAATTTTCTTGATTTAAGTTATGTGTAATATTTACTCAGTGCATACCTTTGAGTAATGACTGCGGGTTCTCTCATCACCTAAAAATAGTTGAAATATCATACATAAAAATATAGTAATGTAGGTATGTTGAAGTATTTATGAAGCTTATAAAAAATTATATTATAGATATACTTCCATTGCTTTTTATTTTAAGAATATGAGTTTTTAACAAATTGTTTGTATATATCACATCAGGCCACATGTCTCTTCTATTATTGACATATCAACTTATTTAATAAATAATGGTTGTTTAATAAAGAAAAACAGACAAAAAAAATTATAACTTATCATGATTCATGAAATTATTTGATTATATATATATATATATATATATATATATATATAT